TTTAATCAAGTTCCTGCAAAGAAATGCAAAAGGAACAATTCTCTCACTCCCTGTATCTCTACGTCTGGTTGTTATAAAAAGGATTACATCAAGGCAGAATGAGAGATTTGACAGAAGCACCTAAATAACTTCCCTTCGGATGCAGGTGACTTTAAGTCAAGTTCTGACAGGTTGTTTGCAGATCCAGGTGCTCCTGGAACATTTCTGTCTGAATGTTAAACTCATAGGTTGAGGCTTTTATACAAATTTAAATAGATGCTTGTATTAAAGGCAGGGTTGGTGATTTTGAAAAACTAGCATAATTTTGAAAGTAGCATTCCCTCAGTGCCCCGTCTGCACCCCCTCCCCTCTGTGCTCCCTCAAAAGCCACGCCCCCTCACTTACATGCACGAGCGCTGTTGCTCCAGAAGTGGACCTCAGCTCATCTCTTACATTGTGTAGAAACTACGTTGTCTCATGTCTCATTCAGCAGTAAGTAAACTCACAGTATAAACTCTGTCATCGATGACGTGCTTTGAGTGTGAGCTAGAGTACACAAGAGGTAGAGAATGAGCAGGAGACAGGGAGGCGTGATTGGTTCATCAGGTTGGTACCTGGTCAGACATTGGTTGAAGTTTTTACAGGCTTAAAACTGATACAGATGATGGATTTTCTTTGTTCCTTTTTCAGAGAACATAAGTTATTAATGTCTGTTAGGACCTAAAGACAATTACAACCAAAATCTTAAAAAGTGGATCTGAAGGAAATCAGAACCCCTGCCTTTAATGTTCCATATTTGGCATAACTAAATAAGCTTTAGTTTGTCCGCCAACATATGCAGAAGTATTTTTCAGTGCAGACTTCACTTGTACGATTTTTGAATGCATGAACAGAGAATCTGAACAAAGCTAAATCTGGGGGTGACAATCCCACTCAAGGTTTAAACAGGGATCAGATAAAGGCACTGCACACGGGGAAAAAACACTCTTTTCTTTCCATTGAATCATGTGTCGTCCTCCTCCACATTCATGAGCTCATTATATACACACATCACACACACACACGCACGCACGCACGCACGCACGCACGCGCGCGCGCACGCACGCACACACACACACACACACACACACACACACTGCTCCCCATCCAACTTCTGGAGGAGGAAGAATAAGCCTCAGATTGCATTCAAATATGTCTTAATATTGCATTAGAAACGCAGCTCTCTCTCTCTCTCTTTCTCTCTCTCACTCTCTCAGCCTCCTTCTCTCTCTCGGTCTCCTTCTCTCTCTCTCTCACTCTCTCTTTCTCTCACTCTCCCTCTATCTCTCTCTCTGTCTCCTTCTCTCTCTCTCTCTCTCTCCTATTCAGTTTGGAGGATGTATTTCCCCTCACTCTGTCCAGAAGACAGATGGTCCAAGCATGAGCCAGCATGAATATGTCACTGAGATCCCCAGCAGTGTATTCAAATGAGACGAGGGGCGGCAGATACGTCGCCCATTACACTGCAACATGCGGCTCAGGATGGAAACCTTTGCAGATTGAATTGGACAGGTGTCACTTTGTCTTACTGTCAGCTCTTCACCTGCTGGTTTCTCTCTCTCCTTCAGTGAAAACTAAACCAAATCAAGCGTGATTTGGGCACAATTAAAGATGTAACTTTTCTAGCGGCTGGATTCTGCAGTATCAGTTGTTAAACACAGTTCAGTCTGGAAACACAATGTGCACCTTTGCCAGTTCTAAAATAAATGTGCCCAGGATAAATGTTATATATGGACTGTGCTGCAAGCCTCGAGCTGCAGCTCCTTTTCTCCTGTGCATGAGCAAACATGCTGATGTTCTGTATTGCTATTGCTTTCAACTGTCAGCACAAATAACAGCTGAAAAAATGTAAATATAGAATCTTAAATTACAAAACAACATGACTTTACATTTATATGAAGAGATGAACATCCAGGTTCTTTTTAACTAGCAGTTCATAAGAGGGAGAAAATCAAGTGTACATTTATAACACATCTTTTACTTTATTTTACATTTTATTTGCTTTCTATAAAACCAACAAATGAATGAAATCAACAAGAAGCAGTCAGTGCACTGTTCTCATCTGTGTTTACATTACATGCACATTCTTTACATTAGCTCATGCAGGAGAGATACTGTACAGTAGATGTGAGCGCACATAGCTCTACTATCTGCTCTGCTCTGTGCTTATTTTAGACATTGCATAACTATGTTTCATAACCAAAATACTGAAAGAAGACAAGATGTTCATTATGTGATACAATTCATTTTAATTTTGAAGATATAAGATGAAACGCCAACACATAAAGTCTCTGCTCCCACTTCTCAGAGCCATCTTTCTTTTTTTACTGTGGATACAAAGTGATTGATCGTCGATTGATCGAAAGTGTGGCTAACAGTCTCCATAGAAAAAAAAGGGGACAGAGTGCGATGACATCGATCATTTACACAAAGAAAAATGAAAAGATGGTTGCATCAGATTTAGCCAGTCGCTTATTTCCATCTGTAGTCGTCACATGAAAGTGACACAAGACAAAAAAAAAAAGACTCCACTCAACAGAGGACAACAAAGAAACACAGCTGACAACACGGGGAAGTTAAACAGAATGCTAAACACTTTGGATCATGTATTTCGATAAAGGAGGAAGAAAAGTTGAAATGTTTAAATAACATGAAAATGTTTAGAATAAGGATGAAATGTGAAATTAAGTCGAAACCACAGAATTTAGGTCGATATGTTGAAAATGATAATAAGAATTTTGAGAATGTAGAGCGGAATTTTTTAGACTTGAGTCAAAAACGTGTCATTAATTTGGAATAGAGTCAAGTTTATGAACCAAAGTACAGACAATGAGAACTTGGGAAATAGGTGGAAGTCCTCAATCCCGTCAAAATTTTGAGAATGAACTTGAATCACATTTTTTTAAACAGTCAAAATCTTTATTTCTAATGTTCCTGACACTGTCACTTTACTCCTGATATTGAAACGTTGAAATGCATAATAAGTAAACCTTCTTTATCTGCTCTTGTATATATACCTAGCTCGGATGCTCCTCTGTATATTCATAATAATAATTTTTAAATTATTATTATTATAGGAGATGTAGAGCAGCAGTTGTCCCCATGTTCTTGCTTACCAACGACCGGATGCATATTTAATGAAGTCTATGTAGTGTATGGCAAGACAACCCAAGGGTTAAACTTGTAATCAAAATCACAAGAAACGCTGTTACAATATGATTATATTTTGTATTTAATGTGAATTATTATTTCATATTTTTCAACCAATCTATTTTATTAAATGAAAAGTTTTACAGTTTGGACCTCAGACACTACAAAACATTTGATAGAAACTGAAAATTTGGAACATGTTTAATATGCGGGGAGGCAGATGCTCAGTCTATGGGGACTTGGGTTGGGAACTGGGAGGGTCGCCAGTTCAAGTCCCAATGTGGATAATAATATGGAAGTTGGTCTGGAAGCTGGAGAGGTGCCCTTGAGCAAGGCACCGAACCACCAACTGCTCTGGTGCGCTGCTAGCTTGGCAGTGTGTAGCAGCCCCACCCTGACATCTCTCCACCAATGCATGTCCACACTTTCTGTTTGTGCATGTGTGTGAGAATTATGTCTCTCAGTAACAGAGTGTAAAACCGGAATTTCCCTCAGTGATCAATAAAGTAAATACATTAAAAAAAAAAAAAAAAAAAAAAAATCTAAATTAAAAACATGCGCTTCATAGACTTTTTGACACAGGTTTTTTTCCGGGACACTTTCATGACCCACTATTGGGTCCCAAACCACCAGTTGAGAACCACTGTTCTTTAGTATTCTTAAATTGATGCTCTGGTGATAAAATGATTTTTTATTTCCTAATGAGGTGGCCAACTTAGCTTTCGGGAGCATGGTCAGTTGCATCTCTCAATTAAAGTGACTAAATGAAAGAGAGAAAGCAAAGAAATTTGCTTGCGTCACAGCGGCTCTGTTTGCGGCACAACAATTAAGACAGGAAACAAAGATACAAACATTTGACACAACACTCAAACACAACACAACACTCAAGATATAAACATTTGAAACAACACTCAAACACAACACAACACTCAAGATATAAACATTTGAAACAACACTCAAACACAACACAACACTCAAGATATAAACATTTGACACAACACTCAAACACAACACAACACTCAAGATACAAACATTTGAAACAACACTCAAACACAACACAACACTCAAGATATAAACATTTGAAACAACACTCAAACGCCAAACAAATGCCCAGAGGCCCTAAAGGTGCTTTGGTCGAGGATTCAGCTCCACATTCAATTTTAGGATTGATTGGTGAACAAAAGAGTGTTTCAGTCTGACCTTAATAAAACGTGGGACCCTGTATCTCCGGTTTAATGGTAACAGTTCATACTCTGTGTTCAGGGCGTGGTCATGGTCAGAGGCGATGTAGTTAGCCAGTCTTAAAATGCTTTTGTTGTAGGCAAGAAGAAAGCTGAAATACAATTTCAATGATAAAGTTAAAATATTTCACCAAAAAAGTTGGGAATAAAGTTGGAAAAGTATAAGGAATTAAGTCCTCAAGAAAAAGTCGAAAGGTTGAAAACGAATTTTAAATGTGGACAAAAAAGTGAAAATGTCGAGAATTAAGTTTAAATACAATTTTATGAAATGTTATCTTTATTTACAAATTGTATTGTATATGTTGTTTTCGACTTTTTTCTCAAACTGTATAATGAAAAAAATATCTTCCTCCCCTCGTTTATTTCTTATGTCTGGCCCTAATCTTCTTCCGTATGATATTCGTTTGAGTTTAAAATAAACTTTCGCCACGTCGAATAAAAACAATAGTGTCTGTTTCAATGAGGAAAAAAAGGTAAACTATTATTTTCTCTTTTTTTCTCCCATTCGTTTCCTCTTTTAACGTGCATTCTGATTGGCTCTCCGCGACGCTTGTAGCCAATCAGCTTCGGCCTGCTGTGGAGGAAGGAATAAATGCAAGATGGCTCCTCGTATAAAAACAGTCTTCTGGGTTGCCCCCAACGTGCAACAAAATAACTCTTTACACCTTATCAGGTTAAAATATTTATCCTCGAATAGTTCTGAAGGGTAACTCGAGCTTCCGATTGATATGCGTACGATGCTTGACGACGTTTCGTGTGAGAAGATAGATAAGAGACAAGAGGGAGAAGTTTGAAGCCATGAGTCGGTGCTGAAGTGTTTCTCTGTCCGCGGAGCCGCCAGGACACTCCGGGCCTCGGCTAACCTGCTAACCAGCTAATAACGTGCTGGTTGTTGTCTGGAAACGTTCAACAGCAGAGAGAAAGAAGGAGAAAGTTTCGAAATCACTGACTGCCTGTTGAATGTGGGGCAACACATTAATCAACAATGGCTGTATCAAGGTAAGATTAACGGGTTAGTCAGGTGGGCTAGCTTGCATACAATTAGCGGGCTAACATGCGAACACCCGCTTTTGACTTGTCAAAGAAAGGCCAACATGCTAACACAGTGTAACCTCACAGTGTAACTTTCTCACTGTTTCATTGACTGATTTAAAACTCGCAGGAGACCGGAGTGGCTTGTTTTTTTTTACCTGCCCTATCACATTTCTCTGCCCTGAAGAAGGAAGAGACACATTCATGTTAAATAGTGAGAGTCTCTACTCACAGCAGATCAGACCTCTGACTGTCTGTGTGTCAGTAACTAGACCCTTCATTAGGCTGTAACATCTCAAACAAAAGCATAGAACTTCTGAGGACCATAAGAAAGATAACATTTTTGTATTTCTTTGGAGTAACTATTATTCTGCAGTGCATAATATTCAAGGGTTATCTACTATCTCCTGTATATTATTATTATTATTATTATTATTATTTAAATATGAGGCACAGCTCTCAGAATAAAACAACACACTACCTACAACCTCAATAACAAAGATGTAGTTGAAATAATGTTCTAACAGAGCCAGTTAGGGATGTAAGGATTCACTCAACTCACGATACGATTCACGATACAATTTATTTTACAAAATGAGACTACAAACCCACTTGTCTTTGGATTGGCCTTTTAATGTTTTTGTTCTCTCAACAATGGGAGGTTATTGAAGCTTCTCATTGTGGTGTTAATTAAAGTCTGTATCATGTAGGTTGTGCTATCTGTGTAGTTCCTTGTCTTCTTGTAATATTTGCACACAGTTTCTGTCTCGTTTGTTATCTTCTCACCTCTTTGATTTTCTGTCTCGGGGAAGCTAAAATGCTTCCACACTTCCGATTTAAAAGACGGTGGTGCGTCCTCAATTTCTAAAACTTGCTCTGCAGCTGCCAACGCTCACTGTATTATTGATGATGGGTGATGGGAATTTTGACATCTTTGCATCAATTTATCACGATTTTACGATTAATCGTTACATCCTTAGTGCCAGTAGAAAATAGTGTGGCTCGATTATGGCAAAAATCATAATCACGATTATTTTTGCTTGATATAAGATCACGATTATTGACACTATTACTTGTTGATTTTACAACATTTGCATCATCACATGTGTTTAATAAACTTAAACACTCTGAAAAACAAGCAATGCATGACAATAAAAAAGTGAAAAATTATAAAAACAATCATCAATAATAATGATACAATACAATGACATTAACCATGTTTTTGACTTAGTAGTGATTAACTCTTTTGGCCAAAATATTAACAACAAATGCGTTGAAACAAACATAACAAAACCTTTGGACAAAACAAACGCAATACGGCCTGCTGTGCAGTAAAAGTTTTATCCCAATTCCCTTTTTTTTTCCTTCATCGTGAGAAGACAAAATTGAAATCAAAACTCGATTAATTGCCCAGCCCTAATAGAAAGTGAGCATTATGTAGTGAGGCAGAGTTAGATGGCACAGCGATATTGGATCAAATTATATCATACAAGTTTATTAATGTTGGTAATCAGACCAAGGACCCTGTTTGATGACTAGGTTTATTGATCCTTTTTAGAAGGATCAATGTATAAATTAGGCTGAATGATATTGAAAAAAAAGCGACACTGCGATATCTTTTCTTTTATGCAATATATTTTGGAAAAACTGGATAGCATTGTCTTATTGAGAATCATGCATAAAGATTGCAATATTTTCAACAAAGAACATGTTGTATATTTATATTTGTGAATGTATTCCCTGTGCTTCCTCAATTGGTACTTATTCTTTATTCTATTATAATTTCTATTCTACAGAATAGAATACAAACATTCCCGCCACAGAGCTGCGCTGCAGACAGCGCCCGGTGCTGAAGTGAAGCAGTTGCAGCCGACTCCTGTAGTCGGCTTGTTTATACCGCAATATTACAAATTGGGGTTACCGCGACAGCCCTAATGCTGAGTTAGAAAGCAATGCCTGCTTGCATAAAGTAACTTAACTTAATGAGAGAAAATTCAGGATAAAATTGCAATTAATTGTGCAGCCTTAATTGATTAGATATTATAATAGCATTAATACACATCGTAAACATGGACTAGTTAAAGATCACCTTCGGTTTTAAATTCCTATTGTCTATCCCTTAAATTAAAGTGCTGGGCGGATAATGGCAAGAGGGCAAGAACAAGTTGGTAATTGCAGCAAATATTTAAACCCCTATTTGAAATAAATTAGTAGTGTTGAAGTAAATGTAGTTTTCCGGGTCAAAGATTGGTCATTGGGTAAAGCATATGTTGCATGCAAACATTTCAATTTAAAGGAAATACACTAAGTTAGCACAGAACACCTGACGTATCACCTAAAAAGAAATGCAGTAGTAACCCTCATGTGATTGTTGTTTTAATTACAAAGAAAGTATTGATTGTCGTTTGAAGGTTTCATTATAACACTCTATTATTTAAGTTGTTTATTGCATAATGATATAAAAGTAACTGTGTGTATCCGGCCTATGACATCATTTGTAGTCCCCTGAATTAAAGCCTATCAAAAGAGTATTATGGCGGACCTTGTGGTAATTACCTTCAAGGGAATCTTTCCAAATGTAAATCTGCAGCCTGTCAAAGTGAAAGTGTGTTCTGCACTTACTTGCTGCACAATTTAAACAGTTAAGAATTATCTTCTGCAAGCGTTGTTATTCTGGTGTACTTGTCTAGCGCTTTCAGTTGTCACAATTCCACATGTTAGTGGTCCTCTTACTCAGCAAAGTATACTCCTCTTTAGTTTATCTTAAGTATAAGTGGGAGCCAGGCTCAAGCCCAGACTTTCTCTAATCCAGTCACCACTTGTATTAATAGCCTGCTAATGACATCAGTGAAAGGCCGGGATCATCAGACGCTCTGCCTCGGTGCAAAGCCAAACAATTCATTAGACATTATGATTTTTTTCATTCAAATGGGAACATCTGCAAAGGACAATCAATTTCTGAGAATATTATTTATTGTGTTGATGTGAATTTAAAGATTATGCTTCATATATTCTGGCCTTTTCATCAGGTTTCAAAAGCTTATACAGTGTTTGTACACAGTAAAGCACCAACAGTTTGAGAAGGGGAGCCAGCATGTTTGTTCTCTGCCTTGTATTTTCTATATTGCTTCTGTTCATCTTTTTTTTTGTGCATGTTCTAGACTTGATCGTCTGTTTATCCTGCTTGACACCGGAACAACACCAGTAACCAGGAAAGCAGCGGCCCAGCAGCTTGGAGAAGTAGTCAAACTCCACCCACATGAACTGCACAACCTCTTATCAAAGGTGTGTGTGTGTGATAGGTTCCTCCTGTGCATGTGAAACCTCTCTCTCCTTCTGCATAGGATGAGATCACTCTGGGTATCTTTGGTTATCCCTGTGAAATATGAAAAATACTGATCATTTATAACAGTGGTATTCTTGCTGGCAGAAAGGTCTTTTGTTTGACATCTTTCTGCCCTTCTCTTCAGGCTATTTTATTTTGTGCTGCACATCTGTAATCCTTTTTTCATTTTGCCAATAACAAGGTCCTGACCTACCTACGGAGTCCAAACTGGGACACCCGTATAGCAGCAGGACAAGCTGTAGAAGCCATAGTCAGGAATGTTCCTGAGTGGGACCCGGCCCCCAGGCCTAAAGAAGGTGAGCTCGGGAAGTCATGTTAGTTTCTAATTTGTTGAATTTAACTTATTAAGTGGAGGCCGATTTTCTCATTCCTCTTTGGCTAAAAGAAAGAAAACACTGCTTATTCACTTTTCATTTCAGAATCATCATTTATAAAAGACTCACAAAACAAAGGTTTCTTTGAGTTTAACAGTGCTGGCCCTAAAAGTCAAATAGTTTTAAACCTCAGTTGAAAAGATTTACATTCAACCTACATTCTGTCAGTCAAATATCAACACTTTGTTTATCAGCTGCACAATTGTAAACAGAGCAGTGCAGGAGCTTTAATTTAAGCAAATATGAAACTGAACTATTTTATTGATATTGTTAAAGCAACAGTGACTTGAGACTTGAAAGGGCACACTCACACTACCATGCTTATGCATGATTGTCCCCCCTCTCTATTCCCCCGCCGGCCTGCACTCACACTGCTCCAGGGCCTGTGGTACAAAGTGCTGTGGTACAAAGTGCTGTGGTACAAAGTGATTCTCACAGAGGAGAATCACTTTCTTAGCATGTAATGCAACAACATCTGTAAATCATGACTGTTTTTAAAAAGCTGCTCTAATGCCTCTAACGAATCTTATTCTTGGTTAAATACATCAGTGTGGACATGAACGGATTCATAAAGTGGTTAAAGAGATAGATGTGCATTTATCTGGTTGCCATATCTTGGTTGTTTCCTGTAGAGTCTTGTGAAGATTTATCTCCAGAGGACTCCTCCTGTGACCGTCTGACTTTCTACCACTTTGACATCGCCCGCCTCCTCAAACATGGAGCCTCTCTGTTGGGATCTGCCGGGGCTGAGTTTGAACTACAGGATGACAAAACTGGTTTGTGGTGATTCTTTTGTGAATCTTTCTTTTGTTACGGACAAATTCAAAGGGAGAAAGCTGATGCCTCATTACATTATGGTCATTCTGTGTGTAGAGTTTGACGGATGCAGATGGAATGTGTGAATAATTTGAGCCTTAACTATGAGAGAGGTCATCCTTTTTTCCCAATGCTGATCACTGGAGATTGTGTATTCTGTTGTTTCTGAATTTGAACAGATTTGGTATAATTTCTGGGCCTTTTTATTTGGATGGGACAGTGGATAGAGTAGTAAATTGGGAGGAGAGAGAGTGGGGAGTTGCATGTGGTAAAGGAACCACAGGTCAGGCTTAAACTCGGACTATAGCCTCCGTACATGGGGCGTCACCTAACTGCTATGCCATCAGCATCCCTGGAATTATTTTTGATTTAAGGAAACAGATTCTGCCACGACTTTAGCTTCCAAAACAGACTTTGTGCACCAGATTTACTCTTCATCCCTAAACTCACTTGATTGCTTGAAAATATGTAAAAACTGGACTGGCATGTAACAATAAGTGCTGGGCCATAAATCAATCTCAAAACAGCATTGTGAAAAATCTTTGGTCTTTTTTCACTCTGGATAGTTGTTGACAGCTATCAAAAAGCTAAACGAAACAAAAATTTAATTGAGGGTCTTTAACTCTGTGCTGGCCGTTAAAATATTTCCAGCTGACTACTGTCATGAATATGACTTAATCGTTTTTGTCATCTGTCTTTGCAAGTTAAGCTGATCAAATGTCAGCAGCAGTTAGTGGCTTGCAGCCTCTGAAGCTATTTGAAAGAGTGTCTGGGGAAATGAAGTTTTACACCTTGAAACTTCTTTATTCAGCGTTTTAAATATAACTGTATGATCCCTTTTCTGGGAGTGTTTGTAGATGAGCTGTATTCCACTTAGAAATAATAATTTACACTGGAGCTTATTCCAACTGGCAGCAAAATAGAGAATAATCATGACAGTATTCATGAAAACAAAAAGTGATCATGGTTATGTTATACCACCAGTGTGGTTAGTTTACTATGAATTTGAATAAGCAAAGTAGGGCGTGCTATCTTTTCTCATGGTCATTTGAATTTTAACCCCCTGAATGAGTGTACGTACCTGTTTTCAGTTGTAGCTTCTGTTTAGTTAAAGACCGTTTGAACGATTTCTTGTAATGAAGAGCTTCTTGTGATACTGTTTCTGTATTTCTTTATGTTTACAGCACTTATCTTTTTTACCTCCTACTAGGGGTGGACGGTAAACAGATTTTTTGGTCTGCCACAACATCGATTTTTGCAATAACTGTAAATCCCAACAATGTTATGAAAAATCTCAGCTAATTTGTAGCTCCTCAACTGTGCAGGAAAAAAAACAAAACTTAAAACTGCAAAGATTCAGTTTCAAGCTACAATGTACTTCTCAACACAGTAACTTATAAAATCATCTTTCTCTGGTCTCATGCACAGAAATGAGTATTGCATCATTGCCTTATATCGCTTTATAATAATACTGTTATAGCAAAAAGCAATAAAACATCTGTGACATGAATCTGAGGTCAAATCACCCACCGCTGCCTCCTAGCTTACACTGTTTCACTGTTTAATATTCTCATCTACATGCTCTGTATTCCTCTCATAGCGACGGCTACGAGAAAGTTTTCATCCTTTCATGTGTGTTCAGGTGAGATGGACCCTAAGGAACGTCTGGCTCGCCAGAGAAAGCTTCTGCAGAAGAAGTTGGGTCTGGATATGGGTGCCGCCATCGGCATGGACACAGAGGATCTGTTCAATGATGAAGACCTTGACTACACCTGCCAATCCAGTGGACTAAGAGCCCATGGAAGCAAAGCCGCAGCTGGATCCAGTTCCAGAAACCATGTGGTGGGTCACTTTTCAACCTCTAAGCTTTGAGCTTGAACTCGTTTGGTCTTAGTGACTGTAAAGTTTAAGGAGAGTAGGAGTGAAGACGTTTTATAGTCATTAAAAAGAGTCATTACATTTTAATTAAAATTTCCTCTGACCTTTTTCTAGATAATTTCAAGACATCCAGTCTCTAACATGTTCAACAACCTGCAGTTCACAACCTCACAGAGGGGAAATAATCTATGTCAGAGGCACTTTCACAACTGAAAATACTCTTGTTTGGTTTTGGTGTGAGTCACTCGAGGTGAATGTTCCAGACTGTTGCTTACTGTGTTCACACCTCTGTGTACCTCTACATTACACACACCTTTTACTCGGGGTGGTTTCAGGCTAAAGTCTGTAGGAAATGGGCAGTTTGCGTTCACACATGGAGCCCACCTGGATAATGTGTAGGTTAACTGTTTGGATATTGCTCGGCTCTAAAGGTACATTTTGCAAAATGTTGAATAACAGTCTGTTAACGACTTCTGGTGCGTTTTCGATTAACGAACAAAGTAGACAAAACGAGTTTGCTCTAACATTAATACATGGTAGTCAGAACATATGCAGTGAAGTGATTTTGTTAAATCCATGAGCTGCTATGCTTTTTGTCAGTGCTCATGGGATTGTTCTTTTCAAATCAATAACCTCAGTCAGAATTATCTGGTTTTTAATACAAAAAAGGCACAAGATCACGAGTACAATCAGGGATCAGCAGGCCAAGATCACCGCCTCCACCTTCTGCCTGGTCTACAATGCACCCCCATGCCCACCCCTGCAGGTAGTGGGCTCAAGGGTGGTGGCTCCATGTTGTTCTTCCATCAGGGCCCTGTTGAATCGTGCCACCAGATGCTCGATGTCGAGCCTTTGTTTGTCAAGAGGCTGAAAACCGGCCTCAGCTCCAGCTTTTAGTCTGTCATTAGGTTGACTGAAAGTTAGAGTGAGACAGGAGGAGCCAGAAAACTGGGGGAACTTTCTTGGCCTACTGCCACCGTTTCGATACCTGTTTCAATACCATTGTATCAACATTTCCTAATTTCTTGTTTTTAATTATCAATGACTTTACACAAACTTCTGCGCACTATCTAAATTGCACAAAAACATTTGCAATGTTTGAGTATCCAAATATTGTGTTGTGTGGGATGAAGCTGTCTCAGCTCTGGGATCGGAGCTGTTTCTCAGTCTGGATATCTGTCTGTATTGTCTAGAAACTTCTAATGGTCAAGGATTGTGACTTTTGTGTCATTGATGATGCAGTTGGCTCTACTCTGGCATCTCTTTATAAAACGTCTCCGTTATGGATCTTAGAGCGCTCCCAGTGGGCCTTCTTACCTACAGCTGTGTAGCATTACAGTCAGATAAGAAACTGAATCTGGTTGTTTGTAAGCTCTCAAATGTGCATCACTAGAAGCTAAAGAACAAAGGAAAAATTGCCCTTATTTGTTTTAATACACCTTTTGTGCAATGCAGCAAAAACACTTGTCCTGACGTGGTAGCTGTTCCAAAAATGTATTTAAATTCACCCTGACTCAGCTGTTATCTATTTGGCCTGACACTCTTTGTGACTCATTCTGTTCTCTTTCTTAGCCTCAGATGAATCAAACTTTTGTGTTTTAGTCTTGAATCATGCGTTCTGTTCGTCATATGTTCTGGCCTGTGTGTAGTTTCTATTTTGGGGAGCTGCATATATCTAAACCTTGAAGGCAGAGAATATCAGTATTGTCAGTGTGGTAATGCAACAGAATAGACATATTTTTTTAATTCTTCGCTTTGATCTGTGTTAAGGATTTCAAACACACCACACATAATAACTGTCTAAATGTATGTGTTCATCATCGGTAGCTGCAGTAGATGTTGCATTATGAAAAATTTGGTTTTATACTCTGATGGTGTTTCTGGCAGAAATTTCCTCACAATAAAAAAACATGAATATTACTCATGGTCTAACGGGAAGGAGATTTCAATAAGTCTCAAAAGAACTGCAGAGGTTTTGGAGCAGGAGGATAAAAAAGTTTAAAGTCAAATGCACCGCTTGAAGATACATGAGACTTCGAGGCAGTGAGTGCGTTTGTGAAGTGAGTCATTGAATAATCTGCTCTACATTGTACAGTCATGAACACTGTAAGGCAGGCCAGGTCCAGCCTGCCACAGTTATCTTACCCAGTCTGACCTCTGCTGTTGTGTTACATAAAGTGCTCGACTTGATGTTGACCTCCTCCTACACCATATCCCCGGACTTGACTCTTGACCTTTAACATATTAACCCAACGGTTGCCTTGCACTTAGATCAGTCTTACCAGTGATATTCTGTTTTGCTAATGTTAGTCCAACGTAGCAAAGAGTTTTATTCTACCTGCTGTGCCCATAACTACACAGACATGCTTAACATGCATTCAAGATATGTGTTATCTGTAGATTAGGGATGTTTTAACTTTCAAACCATGCATCCTCCCATTTTTAATCCACTGTGGCCAGGAAGAAGAGCAGGTGTACCAGTACCTCTGTCCTCCAGGATGCATAATCTGGGGCAAAATATTGAACTCCAAGTTGCTTCATCAGCAAGCAGTGATGATCTGAAAAATCCAATTCTTTTAATCAAACACTTTGTTTTTTGGACCTCTTCTATGACCTTCAACAGAAGATTTTAGATTCCCAGACTAGACAATTACCAACAACATCACTAATACTTGTTTTAGATTTTATTTTTTTTATGAAAAGAATGATGGCTCTTAAAGTTTTTCCTGACACAGTAGGAGGAAATAAGATGAAAATGTTTGCCTTTGGATTGATACTCGAAAAAAAATGTGGCTTTTGGAAATAATTGATAAGAAAACCTGTCATAATGTATCTGATGGCGTTTGAAAGTGTTGAGTTAAATTATATAATCCTCTGTTTTACTTTCAGCCGATTCAAGCTGCTGAGTTGATCGACTCAGAGTTCAGACCAGGCATGAGCAATCGACAGAAGAACAAGGCGAAGAGGATGGCCAAGCTGGTGGCCAAACAAAGATCCAGAGACGTGGACTCAAATGAAAAGAGGTCAGATTATACAAACTGTGTCTAAAACATGCATAGTGGGACTTATCTCGTCTTCATCTCTTTCGGAAAAAATGACTCTGGATCTGAATGATCAGTCCTGGCTCTTTAAAAAAAGAGTGTACATAGTGTTAATATCAAAATACTTGAGATGTTCTAATGTCTGGCCCAATTTTAATCTCTACAGATCTGAGCCTTTATTTATTACGTTTGTTCTAAAGATTAAACGATTCTCTTTGTGTCCCTCTACCTCGTAGTAATGACAGTTTTGAGGGAGAACCTGAAGAGAAACGGAGAAAAACCACAAACGTCGTCATCGACCAACCAGCATCAGAGAATAAAGTCTTAATCGACAACGTTCCAGATAACTCCAGCCTTTCAGAGGAGGTTAGTAATCAGAAATATATTCAATAGCTTATTAATGTCAAGTCTTGCATACTATTTTACATGGTCATTTGTAGAAAATTAATGTATGTTTCTAATGTCTCATTGCTTTCTCTTCAGGCAAACGAGTGGCCTCTGGAGAGCTTCTGTGAGGAGCTCTGTAATGACCTCTTCAATCCTTCATGGGAGGTAAAAATAAACAAACAATGCAGACTTGAACAAAGGAGGGGTTTAACACCTGTGAAAAGTAAATGTGAACACAGAAGAAAGAATAATATTGCATGTGTTTGTTTACAGATTCGTCATGGTGCAGGCACAGGTCTTAGAGAAATCCTCAAGTCCCATGGTCCTGGCGGCGGGAAACTGGTGGGAAGCACTTCAGAACAGGTACATCCTAACCCTTCTTAGGTTGTTTTTTTTTTTTTTTTAAAAGCTTTAATTGTGACTCAAACCTGACACAAACCATTTGACCTCATGGCTTAGATGCTGCGGCAGCATCAGGAGTGGATAGAGGATCTGGTCATCCGGCTCCTCTGTGTTTTCGCTTTGGACCGCTTTGGAGATTTTGTGTCTGACGAGGTGAGTTTTCAGTTTCTCAATTATTTGTCAAATCTAAGATTCTCCATTGAGCATTTCTCACAACATATTTTTGTAGGGCAGTGTTAGCTTGATGTATCCAAACGCTTTCTGTCTTTCATTTCCCTTTGCCAGGTGGTGGCTCCTGTCAGGGAGACGTGTGCACAGACCCTCGGCGTGGCCCTTCGTCATATGAATGAAACTGGTGTTTCGATGACCGTGGATGTTCTGCTGAAGCTGCTCAAAGAAGACCAATGGGAGGTCCGTCATGGAGGCCTGCTCGGGATCAAGTATGCCCTGGCTGTCCGACAGGTACCACCTGTTTTGGTTATATGATAAACTGTCAAATAAGCAAAGCAAGGTTCTACAATGTTAAATCTGAGTGCCATATGTTCAGGAATAAGAAAAAAAAAAGTGGGAAGAGAGGAAGGAAAAGTGAAACTGTAAAACATTTCCATCTCGTAAATCCACGTTGATTATGTCTGTTTCACTGTGTCTCAGGACCTGATCTCTGTTTTGCTGCCCCGGGTGCTCCCAGCCATCACTGTGGGTCTACAGGACCTGGATGACGATGTCAGAGCTGTGGCAGCATCATCCCTCATCCCTGTGGTGGAAGGTTTGGTACAGCTGCTACCCAACAAGGTCAGAGAGGCAGCAGAGGTGACTTTCTAACAGAACACATTTTGACCATTTTGGCTGAAATTAACTAGATTCTGTGTTTGTGTCTCAGGTGCCCTTCATAGTGAACACACTGTGGGATTCCCTTTTAGACCTGGACGACCTCACAGCTTCTACTAACAGCATCATGACACTGCTGTCCTCTCTGCTCACCTACCCGCAGGTCCGACAGTGCAGGTTGGTCTCAAAGAAGGTCACAGAGTAAATAGATGCTACTGTCTGCAATATGAAGTGTGAACAAAAGGAGAGGCAAAGGAAAACAAGTAGAAGTGTTTATAATCAAGTGTCGTGAAAAGGAAGGTAAGGCCCTGAATTGTTGTCAGAAATTTCATATTTATTAAGAATAACATTCGTTCTTACAGCTTTACTAAATACAAAGTATGAAGCCTTCTTGGTGGGGTACTAAACAATTCAATCTTTAAAAGATTCAATTTATTTAAAATATACAGGACATTATCACCGGGTAACTCTCCAGTGTTGAACAATTTAAACGCCATTGGCTGGTTTGATTAGGTAGTTCACATGCTAAGATAACAGGTGCTAACATGTGAAATAAATCAAATGACACTCTTACCATACATTGGACAAACAGGAGCACATACTTCTTGGAAGAACTTCCAGACCAGTATGGTTTGCTTCGTATGTGGTGGTGCTAATATTTACATGTGAAATTGCCCCTAAAGGCTCAAACCTGACGTGTCCAGTTGAGATGACTCATACATTCAGCAACCCCCACCTGCCAGTCTAAGCACCCACGTCCCTGATTATACAGCCTCAATGTAATTTAAATGGATGAGTTATTTGTGTTAATTTGTATGTCATGAATGGGGAAAGTGGTCGCTCAAGGCTCTGCTGGCTTCATTTTTGACTGTAGTCATAGAGGACATGTCATAATGGGATTTGCAAAATGTGTCATTGCGTATTAAGGCTGATGTCCTTCACATAGACTGAAGTGACTTGACTCATCTGTTGTCATTTAGCTGAAGGTCTCCTCTGAATTCTGTTTTAAGCTAAATATCAGCTCTGTGCCAAGAGGTTGGCTGAACTTCACTTGAACTTGATTTACCGCTGAGCAAACGTGCTTCACACAATTTCCTAATATCATGGCTGACCTTTTCAGTCTGTGTAGGTGTATGAATCTTCTAACGAGGCTTTCTTTTATCCAGTTGTATTTTAAAAGATGACCTTGCAGGGCCCTTTCCTGACTCTGTATTCATATTGACACGCTCTGTTGTCCACTCCAGCATGCAGCAGTCATTAACAGTCCTGGTTCCTCGGGTTTGGCCATTTTTGAGACACACGATATCATCAGTAAGAAGGGCAGCGCTGGAGACACTTTTCACACTGCTCTCTAAAGCTGAGCAGGTAAATTTGACTGAAGACAACTGGATACTCATGTTATATATATATATATAGCATCCTTATACACACAACATTAAATAAGGTATAAAAAATATATGCATTAGGATTATTACTGCATACTAACTTTCTACTTTTTATTGTACATCCATGTTTGTGTTTTTTTTTTTAAACCAAAACAAAACAAATTCCTTGTATGTGTAAAACTACTTGGCGATAAACTTGATTCTTCTTTTCTCATTCTGATAATTAACTAAACTTTGTGACAGTCTTGTATAGTCCCTCGCCTAAGTGTTTAGACCTTTTCTGTTTTTGTTCATCAGAGCTGTGCCATGTGGATTAACCCCATCCTACAGGACATGCTTCGACACATATTTCAGTCCTGCATACTGGAGAGCAATGAGGAAATCCTTGAGCTGATCCAAAAGGTTTGTTAAATGGGTAAAATGACCAAGGACATCTTACACCTAAGGACTTTTCAGGAGATTTCAAAGTCAGAATAAAATCAGGAGAACTTTGCTAGAGTCTGAGTCCGCTCCAGTGATCTCAGTCTTTTGTTGCACGGTGGTCATTCAACTTTTTTTTGTCTTGTCTTATTCAAATTGTACTTTTAGTAGTTTGAGTAATAGTAATAGGACTCGTAATAGTAGGAGTCGCCATCACCGAACAGGAAGCTGCAGACTAGTAAACATGCTCCTGGACTGTGGAATAGGAGGAGAAACTGGGGGAGTTGTGTAGAGAGCAAAATGCATTTTAGACATGTTCTTCCCTTTTGTACCAGGATAGAGTGGAGAAGGAAAGAAGGTTGGGGATTTCTAGGTACTCAGCATTTTCTGTCAGAGTATGCTAGGGAAGTTCTCGGTCATCACCGTGGAGTTCAGCCCTCAAAACCCAAGTTTCAACCAGGAATATAAACTTGATTATTGTTCTCTGGATTTCGAGGGCCACTCTATCGTGATTTTAAAAGGGGAGGATATGTCAAGAAGAGGAGCTCTTGCTTTCTTGAAAGCTCCACCAGTTTCTACTGAAAAGTTTTAGTTGTAAAATTTTCACGATGTGCATGATGGGAAATCATGGCAAAAGGAATCTAGTTTTATTCTTTCAGTTAATGACCCTGCAAAATCTCCAGTCTTTGTAACATCTTAGTCTGTGACTAAAACTCTGAGTTTCTGACACAAAGTCTTCCAGAAGCTAAGTTATTTTTGTCACCCCAAGAATTTTCCATTTATTTTAAATGTACATTTCTCACTTTTTCCCCTTTCCCATGTCTTTGTGCAGGTGTGGATGGAGCTGCTGTCTCAGGCACCCCAGCAGTACGTGGTAGCAGCCAGCTGTCCGTGGATGGGTGCCTGGCTCTGTCTCATGATGCAGGCCTCACACATTCCCATAGACCTGAACATGCTGCTGGAAGTGAAGTCTCGCTCCAAGGCAGGGCTATTTCACTCTACCATACAAGACTGAGACATATGAATTCTGTTAATTCTCAGCTGATAATTTCTGGCTGTAGTTAATGTGGTGTTGTAGTGACTGGTTTCTTGGATATGATTCTTCATTCAGACCAACCTGTGAAAGTGATATTATCTTAGCTTTAACATTAAGAAAAGGTCGTTTATTTCTGCATTTATAAATACCCATGTTTGTTATAAACCATTTAATGCATCTGATCCAAACTATCAAATGACTGAAATAAATACGTCTTAAAGGGTTAGTATGACCTTTGAAGGACCATGGGATGTTTCTGATTCGAAGTTCATGCAAATATTATGCATGTCTTCGAAACATCGCTCAAAACATCAAACTGAGGTTGCTTGGGTGTGTTTTCCAGTCAGCAGATCTTCAGCAAATCTGTAGGAGGAAATAAAAATGCATCAGATAAGCTGCATTCAACCCAACAAGTCAATTTCAAAAAAAAAAAAAGTGTATGAAATGTTCCGTTGAAGGAGAAATTAGAAAATACCGCCTGTTGGTTTCTTGTCTGATTGGCAAACCTAGGGATGTCAAAACCTTCTCTGGTTAAAACAGAAGAAGAGCATTCAGGACCAGAATATAAAATTCAAGGACATACTGGCTGCTGCATTGTTGTTAGACAAGAAAGCACTTCAACATAGCATGTTTCCTTAATTTCTGATTATATAGTAAGGTCATTTTCTCATTTCATTTAGTAGTTATCTTACATATTGGTCCTTTAAGAAAGGCTTAGTAGTAGTGAGCAAAGTAGGAGTTGTACTCTAGGTACATAATGGACAAAACATAAGCAGATACTTGTATTTATATGTAAGGCCAATATTGATGGAAAATGTTTTGGCCTGATACATTGAGCATCCCTAACTTGATTGAAGTTGTTAGACTTAATGATGTTCATGTTGTCTCTCCCTAACAGGATAAGATGGGTGCAAAGGCCCGCCAAGGTACCATCCTGGTGAAGGAAACGGTTCAGGAGTACATAGCAGGAGCAGAGACTGTGGCAGACGACTCGCTGACACGAGACTATGTAGTGATGCGAGCTCGTCTCATGGCTGCTAGGTAAACTCTTACTGTTGAAATTAAAAGTTTTCATCCCTGGCTGAACATGTGGCTGCCACTCAGTAAATAAAGAGAACCATGTTAAGCTTAAAGTTTTAAAAGTGTTTCTGCTGCTCTCTGTCTGTATTCCAGATTGCTGGGAGCTCTGTGTAGGTGTATCTGTGACCCTCAGCTCAATGCTGCATCACAGGAGATGCGACCAGCTGAGTCTTTGGGCCAGCTGTTGCTCTTCCACCTTAACTCCAAGTCTGCCCTGCAGCGCATAGCTGTGTCTCTGGTGCTCTGTGAGTGGGCTGCACTGCAGAAGGTGAAAAGCTTAGACGAACAGTTTGTTAATGGTTGAGTCATTTTAAATTTTGGTACTTTTTGGATGTTTTTTGAGCATAAAATAATCAAAAAAGCGTTAATGTCTCTCTCAGGATTGTCAGCTGGTGTCGTCCATGGTGCAGCCTCGTCTTCTGGCTGTTCTGTCTGAGCACTTGTACTATGATGAGATCGCCATCCCCTTCACACGCATGCAGAATGAATGCAAGCAGCTCATTGCACTGCTAGCTGAATCCAACATAGACCTGCAGGATCGCCTCAGTTGTAGCGTTTTCACTATTGATCAAGCTAACGACCTGGTAGGTACAGCCACACATGCATGTCAGAACACAGAGTCTGATTAGATGATGCAGAAACCTTTTACTGGCAGTAGTCCTAAATTAAGTGACTTTAAGCGTTTTTGTAATGCAATAAAATAAAATTGCTATCCTTAACTTGGACTAGAAAAGATGACTGACTTGGAAATGTTCATCTTGGATCTTTCTGTCCTGAACTGACATTTTCTGTAAATGTATGGCGCACACAGTTGTTCCTCAGTTAAATTTGTTTAAGTTCCAGACTCACCCCCTCTCCCTCTGCTTGTTCCCTAGGTAACCACCATCTTTACAGACTCGACGGGAGCTCTGAACGTCAATTCCAAACAGTGGCAGGCACTGGACAGTAAACGGCAGCAGGCTCAGTCCACAGTGCTGGAGACGAGCACAGAATGGCAGCAGCTTCATCTGCGTGTCCACATGTTCACCGCCTGTGCAGTCATTAACCTGCAGGTTCTTCCCGACAAACTCAACCCGCTGGTCCGACCTCTGATGGAGTCAATAAAGCGAGAAGAGAACGCTCTGATTCAGGGATACGCTGCTTCTTTCACAGCTAAGCTGCTGCAGCAGTGTGCTGGACGCTCGCCATGCCCCAATCCCAAGATCATCAAAAACCTCTGTGCCTCTGCTTGTGTGGACTCTGCAGCCACACCCTCATCTGCCTGCCCCGTGCCCCCAACACAAGAAAACTCCAAAGGTTAGAGCTGTTTAAAGACGCGCAATATTCCAAATTTTATTGAAAAATGTTGGCTACCAGGTTTCACATTGAAAAGACAAAGTTAAACCAGGAACAGTCTGAAAGAAAAGTTAGCAGTCTGTCTCAGTCTTGCATGGCTCAACACCAACTTAAAACTTTTGATAAAAAGGGCATCCTCTCTTTCTGGTTGCCAAAATTAAGTATATAGTTTAGAAATTAAATAGAATACTATCTGATTTAAAAAAAAAAAGTAAAATGTCTCTCAAAATGCTCAAAAGTTTAATAACAGTAACTAAACAATTATACACAATTTGAAACTTTCTCTCTATTTTGTGCATTAGCTGATAATATTTTAATGCAACTGTTGTCTTCCCAAACCTCTCGATAATAGGTCAATCATGTAGCTTAGTGCTCCTTATTGACATGTGTTCATGTGACTATAATGCGTCAAATATTCAAAAGTGTTGATTTAAAGTTCCACAGCCAAAGCTATTAAAACAGAGGAAATTCTAAATTCAGTAAAGTCCTAATACAGACTGGATTTTTTTCTGTCTTCCTTGTGTCATTAGGCTGTGGGTTGGAGAAAGACGGCATGCATCACATGGTAAACAAAACACGAGGGATCATCACCCTGTACCGCCACCAAAAGGCAGCGTTTGCCATCACCAGTAAAAGAGGGCCAGCCCCTAAAGCCCCAAAGACCCCCAGCACTGAGCTCCCTCCAGGCAGCACCATCAGCACTGATAATGACGAGGTAAAGAAGACTTCTAAAGTACAGATCTTCACATTAAGCTCATTATGACCTCAGTTTGTGTTGATCTTCTCTCTATGAATTGTTTCCTCTTCAGAGCAAGAAACCCTTCCTCATTCAGAGACGAGGGTCGGAGTTCTCCCTGACGACTATTGCTCGGCACTTTGGTGCAGACTTCACCACGACTCTGCCGTACCTGTGGGAGAGCACAGTGGGACCTCTGAGAACTGTGGTGACAGCAGGTTACAGCCTCGGTATGTGGATTTGATTGAATACATTTTAACAGCACCAAAGCAACAACTGTCCACACAAATCTCAAATAATCTGTCTGAAATGTAAATTTTTGTGTTCAAAATCTGTAATACTCTCTGATGTGAAACACAGGTGGTTGCTAAATTTTGTTTAGGACTAAGTTATCTGCTAGTGTGAGCAATGTCAGCAAGGTGCTTTAATTGGGGGAAAACAAATGTTTTTTAAAGATTTCATGGATCAAAAACAATAAACAGGGACTGGTTTGTCCAGATTTTTTCCAATGTAAATTTATTTTAAGGCCTAAATATGAAGAGAAGAGGGTGAGCTACTGAGGTGGCTCCATTTGGCTTGTGAATTAGTCTTTCAAACAAGTTTAAGACACAGTAATCTTGTTTTTTTATATTTTATATTCCAATGAGAAGTAGGATCATGTATGCAATCTGTGACATTTTTTAACCATTGGGATTGTTCCCTAATTTGACATTATTTTTATAAATGAATTAATAAAAGGCTGTCCCTCATTGCCCTCACTTTTCAGACCCAACAACTACTTGCACTTCTTATTAAAGGTGTAGAAGTTGGTATTAGCCTTGATGCTAATAAGTCCTGTATGTCTTCTTCATGTGTTCTAGATAGGCAAGTTGAGCTGGAGAGGGGAGATGCTGCAGCTCAGGATCTGGTTAACTCTCTACAAGTGCTGGAAGTCATGGCTGGAGCCATGGCTGCTGAACTCAAACCTCTGGTAAGACTGCCGCTCCTCCAATTCTGCTCTACACTGTTTCTATAGCATCATCAATTGAACCATATTAATATTCAACAGTTAAAAAAGTCATTATCAGTAACTGCAGTGTGCTTTAGGTGAACTGAGTCAGCATCCTGTTGCTCCCTTTGTACCACCTGTTAGATTAAGGGAGATTTGGTCAATGGCTGAAACGGGGACTTGTATTCACAAAGCTGAATGTTTTAGACAAGCTTTTCATTATACACCTTTTGCTTTAGACAAAGCATAATTTTTTGCTGGCTAAAATCAACACTGTCTCTGATAATGCAAACATAGTCTTCATAGATCACGTTAGTGGCTGAGTATCAAACCAACTCAATAAATAGTACTCAACATGGAGTCGGAATACATTTTAAGGCATACATAGTTGTTAGACTGTCAAAAAACATTTTGTCTTAAAGTTAATGGCATAACAATGAAGCCTCAAAGAAGAAGTTCTTATAAGTATCTCAATACAGCATAACATCGGGGACACCACTAGTCACAGACTCACACCCTGCTTATCCTACAAAGAAAGCACATTTATCATTTCTGTTTCTGCTTTTGTTGTAGCTCCTGGAGCATCTACCCCAACTGTTCACCTGCCTGCAGCACCCATACACAGCAGTGCGTCACATGACGGCACGCTGTGTTGGCGTGTTTAGTAAGATCGCCATGCTGGAGACCATGAACAGTTTCCTGGAGTGTGTGCTCCCCTGGTTAGCAGCAATCGGGGACTGCACCAAACAGGAGGGTGCCATCGAGGCTTTAGCCTGTATCCTAAAAACAGTGACTAAAATAAACATCCTGTTCTAATGCACTTCATTACAGATGTCTGGAATCCTTTTTTAAACAAAGTACAAAGAATGCTAAGAGGAGATGTGATTTGCAAGTTGTTAAAAGTTTACAATAGAGATGATCTGATCAAAATTTGTTTAAGCTAAAAGTATGTTATTCAACCAACAATAATTTGTAATGAAGCACTGGAATACATAGAAAATGAATCCAATAGTACAGTACATAGAGTCAGAAACTGGAGAGAGAGAGAGAGAGTGGGGAATAGCATGCACGACAAAATTGAAAAATCTAGATTAGATTTGATTAAATAATTTCTCTATTATCCCAGAGGAGCAATTTATATTACAGCCAGTAGTACTACACAAACAATATAAAAAAATACAAATAAGGGAGGAATAAATAAAATAATTTGGGCACATTTGAAAACCACACAAACAATAAATAAATACATACCATAAATCTGGTCTTTCTGCTGAAGGCTTCAGCTAGTGTGACATTTTAGATTAGTTTAAACAGGACTGTGTAAATATCATCGACTGACCCTTGAAGTTGTTGCTGTAGTATTCCTGTTCAGTTCTTTCCTTGACTAACATCTGTCCAGGTGTGATGGAGCAGCTGGATGTGGACATCGTGCCCTACATCGTGCTGCTTGTTGTACCCGTGCTGGGCCGTATGAGTGACCCCAGTGACAGCATCCGTTTCATGGCCACACAGTGCTTTGCTACACTCATCCGCCTGCTGCCTTTAGAGGTACGAGCACACACAGAATCAGAGATACTTTATTAATCCCCCGGGGGGACATTTGCTCTTAAACACAATCAAGTGTGGAAATATAGGAATATAAATAAGTATATATATTTAGCAGCAGTTTTGTTTTTATGCAACATTAATATTCTACAAAATGGTTTGATTGCATCCTTGCTGAACACCACTTCATATGTACCAAGTGTTTTGCTTCTAAAGTTTTCTGTTCTCTCAATCAGGCAGGGATACCTGACCCTCCAGCCATGTCCGCAGACCTGATCCGGCAGAAGGCCAGAGAACGCCACTTCCTGGAGCAACTACTAGATGGAAGAAAACTGGAGAACTACAAGATCCCTGTTCCTATCAAAGCTGAACTCAGGAAGTACCAGCAGGTGGGTGTCAGGGTCCACTATTCCCTTTAAAAAAAAACTCCTTAGGCTGAAATCAGAAGGAGGCTCAGGCTGTGTCACATTTAAACAACATGTCGGGTTTTTGACCGAGAGGCTCTTCATGTCGTGTCTGAGGTTTTTCTGCAGACAACGAACGGTCTTCTTGACATCTTTAATTTGGAGCAGACAAACAGACGGGTTGTGTGCGTCTGCTTTGACCGTCCATCGCTTCAATGTAGCAGTGTAAAAAGCTAATATGCTTCTATTGGTCACCAAACTAGCGTCAACAAGTCAACCTTAACTGTCAGATGATTGGCTATTTTTTATCTCTTTAAGTTTGTTTGTTTTTTTACAGTTGTGTATGCTTGTGTTGTCCTGCAGGACGGAGTGAACTGGCTGTCCTTCCTGAACAAATACAAGCTGCACGGGATCCTGTGTGATGACATGGGCCTCGGCAAGACGCTGCAGTCCATCTGCATCCTGGCAGGAGATACCTACCTCAGGTACGCAGTCCAAACATCACTCAGAGGGCGAATCAGTGTGCTGAAGCACAAAAAAACCTGAAAGTCAAAACAACAATAACACTCAGTCTCCTTCATAATATACAAAGGATGTGACACGTTGGCATCATTTATAACCCATTGAACTCTTTAATTCAGAAAGCTTTAAACTCCTAATACTTTCAGGCAAAGAGCCTTGATGTGTCTGCTATCATAAAGAAAAAAGGTTATTAAAACACATTCTGTGGGATTCAACTTAAAGTGAGCTGAAATTAAAACTGAAGAAATGGGTCTGAATTTGAACGATGGGAGTTAAGGTTATACATTTGTATATGACTTAAATTCATAACAAATTCAGAGGAAATGAACAATTAGTCAGTAAAGACAACTGTCTCTGTTTTCATTCCAAAAGTAGAATCACGCGCTGTGTAAATAATGTTTTCAAAATGTGTCCTTATTTATTGGTAAATACATTAAGAACATTGGTTTTGAAAACTGATAGTCACAGTAAAAAAAACAAACTCGCATTTAAGTTTGCTCCAAAAAAAGTTGTCTTGCGATTTTAACAAAGAGGAATTTCCTTTTTGAGTTGATTTTGTAAAACGTGAATAGATTTCTATTTATTTCTGACGACAGTGAGCCTGCACAAAGGTGTGAGTGTGAGAGAGAGAGAGTTTGAGGACATTCCTAGGCTGGAGTAGTACGAGCTTCGCTTCACCCCCGCTATTATACATCAACCACGATTCTTTTTTAGGTCACCTTCAGACTTCATGGATTGTGTGCCCTGACAGTATCGTCACAGAAATAAATCAGAATCCCCCCAAAAAATGACATATTTGCTGTACATACTCCTAAAGCCTGGGGTGACAGATTTATAAAAACACACTTTTTGAAATGTTCTAAGGATTAAAAGCAGGAGCTTCAGAAATAATTCATGTTCAAGTAAGAAGACCTAAAGCACATTTAGAACAGTTACTCCTACAAACGCAAGAGGACAGGGGTTAAATAATCATCATGAAATTATAATACAGGGCAGAAACCGGTGCATGAAAATTCTTCATAAAGAACAGTCTGACACTTTTAACATCAACACTTCTTTGATCTCATTGTTTTTAAAAAGCTCTTTAATGTTCGAGCTGCTGTGTGAGTAAACCGGACTCAGCCGTCTGTATGTGTGATGTCTGCTCAGGGCTCAGGAGTACGCCAAGACTAAAGCGGCTGACTGCAGCCCCATGCCCTCTCTGGTGGTTTGTCCGCCCACGCTGACCGGACACTGGGTGGACGAAGTGAGCAAGTTCTGCTCTAAAGAGTACCTCCACCCGCTGCATTACACCGGACCTCCTACAGAACGGATGCGGTAAAGAAGATTACTCAGACTTTTATTTTGGAAAGAAAAATGCTTTCATACAAACGCAGAGATTTCTGACCTCCATTTCTGACCTCCATTTCTGAACCACTCCAGACTTTATGAGCTGAATAAACAAAGTGAAATAAAGTTTTGTTTAAAGTTAGCCTGGATCAGTGATCATAAGATGAACGTGTTCTCTTAAAAGTCCTCATGGACCTAAACAAACATTTTCTGTTCCAGGTTACAACATCAAGTTAAGAAACACAATCTCATAGTCGCCTCTTACGATGTTGTTCGGAACGACATCGACTTTTTTAGGTGAGTCTCACTCCTGTCCTAACATCAGATGGTGTTTTAGAAGTCGGTGCTCAGTTTTTAATGTTCTGTCTCTCTGCATTGTAGAAATATCAAATTTAACTACTGCATCCTTGATGAGGGTCATGTCATCAAAAACGGGAAAACCAAACTCTCCAAAGCCATCAAGCAGTTGGCCGCCAACTTCAGAGTCATCTTATCAGGAACGCCCATTCAGGTGAGGCTCTGTCACCTGGCAATCAAATGTATTTGGAAAATAAAAAAGATCTTTCATTGTGTAGTGATGAGTCAGACCATGAATATCTTTCTGCTCTGTGATCCCAGAACAACGTCCTGGAGCTCTGGTCGTTGTTCGACTTCCTCATGCCAGGCTTCCTGGGAACGGAACGACAGTTTGCTGCTCGCTACGGTAAACCGATCCTGGCCAGCCGGGACGCCAAAAGTTCCTCACGGGAACAGGAAGCAGGTACGTCAGCTCTCGGTCTCTGAAAGTTTGTCACTGGTGTGGCTTGGTTTAGATTTAAAGATCTGGCTTCGTGCACAGTTGACTGTAGTTAATGCTGGTTTCTCCTGCCAGGTGTCCTTGCGATGGAGGCGCTTCATCGACAGGTGTTGCCCTTCCTCCTGAGGAGGATGAAGGAGGACGTCCTCCAGGACCTTCCTCCTAAAATCATTCAGGACTATTACTGCAACCTGAGTCCTCTACAGGTACGTGTGAACTCTGCTTCTCTTAACTGAAAGTAGACCTACATCTTTCTCCTACCTCATCCTCCTTTTCTTCTGATTTTCTTTGATTGCTTCTCTTTCCTTCTTCTCTTCTCCCTCTCCTTCTTCTACTACTTTTTCTTCATCTTCTTTGTGCCATCAGTATTGTTTTTATCAACCGGACTTCCCACTTTATCCTGCAAACATAAATGGAAAGTCTTTTTTCTTTTATTCTTTTCTATTTTTTAGATACATTTTTGGTCCTTTGCCTTTATTTTGATAGGACAGTGAACAGAGTAGGTCATGGAAGAGAGAGAGTGGGGAGGTAGGAGAGCAGGAAAGCGGCCTTAAGTCAGACATGAACCCGGGCGCACACTTGGAGTACTATATCCTCTGTACATGGGGCGGGTCTGACCTCTAGGCCATCAGCGTGTCTGAAGTTTTCTTACTTAACTATGTTGTTACTTCGAGGTTGATGATATAATTCAAAGTATGTTGTTTTGCCGCCTGAAGGTTCAGCTGTATGAAGACTTTGCAAAGTCTCGAGCCAAGGCCAGTGTGGACGACAGCCTCTCTACAGCCTCAACAGAAGAGGAGGAGAAGCCTAAGCTGAAGGCTACAGGACATGTCTTCCAGGTACACTGTTCTTTTTTTCTAAATATTTATTTCCAGATGGTACGAAGGGTAAACCAGAAACAGAAGCTGACGATGTTGATGTGCTTTTTTTAAGCATCCTCATGTTTGTACCTCGAAGTCTTCTTTTATTTTTATCTCTGTTGTTTGAATAATAGCACTCATTTTTCAGGCCTATTGTTTACCTTTTTATGTTTTGCAGATGCATCCCACTACAACTAGTCAGTACTAAGTACATTTTGTTTCTCCATTATTGCAGGCGCTGCAGTACCTGAGGAAGCTGTGTAACCACCCGAGCCTGGTCCTGACCCCGCAGCATCCAGAGTACAAACGTGTCACTGAGCAGCTGGCGAGCCAGAACTCGAGCCTGCGGGACATTCTGCACGCGCCCAAACTCTCAGCTCTCAAACAGGTAAAGTTCCTTTAGATCAGCTTCACTGTTTCCTTTCTGCTCGGCTCCAACAGTGTGATACTCACGTGTCCTCTGCTCTCCAGCTGCTGTTGGACTGTGGTCTCGGTGGTGGTGTTGGATCAGAGGGCGGCACTGAGGCAGTGGTGGCCCAGCATCGTGTGCTCATCTTCTGTCAGCTGAAGAGTATGCTGGATATTGTGGAGCACGACCTGCTGAAGCCCAAACTGCCCTCGGTCACCTACCTGAGGCTGGATGGCAGCGTGCAGGCCGGCCTGCGTCACTCCATCGTCTCCAGGTGAGGGCCTTCAACTTTTTACTCTTTTTAATGAAATACGAAATGAACTGCTGGATCATATTTATGATAAGGGAAATATTTCTGATCTGAATCGAACTATTGTCTCTTTCAGGTTTAACAACGACCCGTCCATCGATGTGCTGCTGCTGACCACACACGTTGGAGGTCTGGGTCTGAACCTGACTGGTGCAGACACCGTGGTGTTTGTGGAACACGACTGGAACCCAATGAGGGACCTGCAGGCGATGGACCGAGCCCACAGGATAGGACAGGTACTGTTGATGGACACACAGAGAAAACACATCATAAAGCTTAGTGTGAGCCTGAAGCAGCACTTTGGGGGACACACCATTAACACTGCAGGAGTCTGAGATATCAGAGATCAGACATAAAATATTTCACCTGTGGACTCTTTTTCTGAATGTACAAAAAAAAAAAGGTATAAACAGAATAAGAAAGGGACATTGGGTTTTTTCATTCAAAGCAAAAGGAGTCTCATATTTATCCACATAGGTGATTATAGCTTCTGAGGGTAATGTATTTCTTCCACTTCTCAAATTTGTTCTTCTGAAGCCTCAAAGATAAGGTGGTCCATTCCATTTAGAAGATTTCATGACTTTAATCATACCGGTCCTCTCTATAGATCCTGTTTTGGTTTTGTTAACTTTTTGTCAAGAGTTCATCCAAATATATGTAACACTCTGTGGATCAAACACCAAAGACTAAAGCCTGATAAAAATTATAATAATGATAATTAATAATTCTTTAACTGGATTCTCCAAATCCACTAAAGACAGTTTCTCATTTGAACAGTATGAACCGTGTCCCCTTAAAATCCTCATTGTGTGTCAAATTCAGGTTTCATTACAACACTGTCTCCCACTATGGGATGTTCATCACTGTTTCCCTCATGAATTATTAAAGTCCTCTGTTTGAACAGTGTTGGATTGTGTGACACTGCTGCTCTTGTCTGGAACCAGTGAAGCAAAATGAACCAAGTGAAATGAAGTTGGCAGGGCGGCTCAGTCCCCTTTTCGTCTGGTCCATTCTCTTAATGGTGTCCTCGTGTGTTTGTGTGTTGCAGAAACGGGTGGTGAACGTCTACAGGCTGATCACTCGCGGCACACTGGAGGAGAAGATCATGGGTCTGCAGAAATTTAAGATGAGCATCGCCAACACCGTCATCAGCCAAGACAACTCCAGCATGCAGAGCATGGGCACAGACCAGCTCCTCAACCTGTTCACCCTGGACAAGGTGAGACCTCCAGGTGGTCCCAGCTCAGATACAGTGCTGAGGGGGGTTAATGGGTGTCAAAGATCGCTCACAAAGAAATGGAAACAAACATCATGTGGTCACTCTGTTAGTACAGAAGTTCAGTTTGCTCACATCTTAATAATCAAATAGAAAAATTAGACAGAGCAAAATGTATCTTACTGTTACTATAAAGACATAAATGAGATTCTCTGAAAAAACACAATGACTTAATTATTCCCTTTGATTATCCTGGTTTTGGTCGATATTCAAAAGGAACCTGACTTTAACCTTTAACTTTAATGTCAGAAGGGATGCAACAAGGCAGAGGTTTGGACTTAATATGTTCTTATTGGGGGATGCATTATGGTTATTGTTTAAATGCACACAGAATATATTTACCTTCAAGGAGGGATCTAAAGGATCGGAGGACATTCATTCACATTTTCTTTGAACTCTTTTAGCCATAAACCAAGTACTATAAAACTGGTTTAATTTCTTACCACATCGATTGTGCTGCCCTGCAGTTTCTGCAGAAATGAATCAAGTTCTTTAATATTCTTTAGTCTGCATTTTTTAGGAAGTGCTTCAAAATTAAACTTAAGTAATTCCAGATATCTTGTACAGCACAGAATATTTCTGTAGCCCATGGCTGCAGACATGCACACAAAAACCTGCTGATATGTATAAAACTATTAAAGTTAGGAGCTTTATAAATAACTTAAAATTAAGTTAGACAGCCTAAAGCACGATTAAAGCAGGTATTCCTACAAACAAAAGAGGACCAAAAATCCCAAAAGGATGTAGAAGAGGGACACATTGGAGCATGTTGTGAGATCAATAAGCCCAGTGTTTGGATTCTTATCAAACTCAATACTGAAAAACACATCTGACATGTGTCCCAAACACTGACACATCTACCTGCATGCTGTGCTGTTACCTTCTGAGCCTCCTTCCTGTTTGCCTGATCGGTCTGCTGTGTCGATGTGTTTCAGGGTGAGAAGGCTGAGCAGTCAGCGTCAACCTCAGGGAAGTCCTCCATGAAGTCTGTGCTGGACGGACTGGGGGAGCTTTGGGACCAGCAGCAGTACGACTCAGAGTACAACCTGGACACCTTCATGCACTCCCTACAGTAGCACTGCAAGACCCCCACCACAGCCCTCTTCCACACCCACGTAGCCTCCGTCTGCTGACCGAGCTGGACCCGGTCAGAGCCGGAGGAGACCCAAACTGCTGCAGATAACTTTCGCAGTCCACCTTACACCTAACGCAGGATAAATGAGGTGGGCTGATAGTTAACGTTCATGACCATAAGCAATAACTCAAGCACAGCTGGAATAAAAAAACTAAATTTTAACGCCTCAAACTAAACGGTACACGGCAGAAAAGTGTGTCTTAACATTTTTAGGAAATCCCATAATTCTTCGAGATTTGCAGAGAACCCCTAAGAGGTGGTACAACGTGTCTGTACCAAACATCTCCAGTGTTAGTTTACAACATCTGCATTAGTCCGCGGTGATGATGCGTCCTAGCTATCCTTCAAGCTCCAGGTGCTGCTTTTCTCCCATGATGCATTGCCAGAGTATACAGTGTTAACTACTTCACCATTACTCTCCTATCCCACTGATCTCATGGTCTTAAAGCGCTGCGATGCCCCGCCACGTCTGTCAGCTGCTCTCTGACTGATACAAACATTTTTCTGTACGACAAAAGGGAAACGGGTGGAGAGCGAGGGAGCTCTCTGGAGGACGCACAGGATATCATCACTGACTCTTTCTGGCACAGTGATGAGCAGGTTGTGCTGTAGAGGGCGCTGTAGTTTCCCCTCGCCCCGGGAGAGTCTGTTCACATGAGCTGTGTGTTTGACAAATGAACGAGTGTGTCCTGCTCTTCAAACGTGGTGTCAAAAGGAGCACTTGAAGCAGCTTCACAGAGACTGAACATGGGGCCAAGAGGAAACTGGTACCTGAAAGATGCCACAAGTATTTTAAAAAGAAGAAATAGACTTGTACATACTTCTGTAACTGCTGCTTTTTCTTTATGATTGTGGAGTTGTAATAAATTCTACAAACCTTTGAATTACATATTCATGTTTTATTACCGTGTGTGTGTGTGTGTGTGTGTGTGTGTGTGTGTGTGTGTGTGTGTGTGTGTGTGTGTGTGTGTGTGTGTGTGTGTGTGTGTGTGTGTGTGTGTGTGTGTGTGTGTGTGTGTGTGTGTGTGTGTGTGTGGTGTGTGTGTGTGTGTGTGTGTGTGTGTGTGTGTGTGTGTGTGTGTGTGTGTGTGTGTGTGTGTGTGTGTGTGTGTGTGTGTGTGTGTGTGTGTGTGTGTGTGTGTGTGTGTGTGTGTGTGTGTGTGTGTGTGTGTGTGTGTGTGTGTGTGTGTGTGTGTGTGTGTGTGTGTGTGTGTGTGTGTGGTGTGTGTGTGTGTGTGTGTGTGTGTGTGTGTGTGTGTGTGTGTGTGTGTGTGTGTGTGTGTGTGTGTGTGTGTGTGTGTCTCTGCTTGTCTGTGTGTGTGTCTCTGCTTGTCTGTGTGTGTGTCTCTGCTTGTCTGTGTGTGTGTCTCTGCTTGTCTGTGTGTGTGTCTCTGCTTGTCTGTGTGTGTGTCTCTGCTTGTCTGTGTGTGTGTCTCTGCTTGTCTGTGTGTGTGTCTCTGCTTGTCTGTGTGTGTGTCTCTGCTTGTCTGTGTGTGTGTCTCTGCTTGTGTGTGTGTGTGCGTGTGTGCGCATGTGTTATGACCAGTAGATGGTGTGGTTGCACACTCAAGAAATATAATACTGACACATGAATGTACCTGACCTCTGGTGACCCGCCTCTTTGGCTGTAATGTCCATATTGAAGGACACTTTCCTGCTTTACAACAGTCCCACTTAGCAAATGCAAAATGATGCCAACACTGCAGCAAATCCAGCTGTAAAAAATAAAGTTCCTCTAAATTTAAAAACTCAACTTAAAGGTGAACGGAATTCTGTAAATAAGGACAAAGTGGAAGCAGAAAGATGCTGGAAACATCAGATATTATAAGCAACTGAATACCAAATTATATCATGACTGTTGATTAGAGCCTCACAGATATCTCAATCAAGATTGTCCTTCATTCACTGATAAGCATTCACTTTTACAGGACACAATGCCAGAATCATTCAGAGAAAATTGGAAAGTATTCCCATCCAAAGGGATTTTTCTTGAACGGTTACCCGTGACCATCATTGCTGTCAAGCTTGTGAAGATGATTTTTTGGGGATTTAAAACGTTTCCTTTCTGAATTGGGTGTTAATCACGATGACCTCCGTATGACTTGCAGTATTCCCATGGCAGCTGTTTTACTCCAACTTCAAATTCAGGATTTAAAGCTTGCTTATGCTTTCCTGGAGAGCAACATGACGGTAATTTGTTTCTAGTAGCAAGTCATGCAAATATAGAAAAGACAATCGTAATCATTTTGCCTCTTCCTTAATAATCCTGATTGATCGGCTTGTTGTAACCGATATTTGCCATGTTCAAGCTCCCCTTGGACAACTAACGTATAGTAAGCAGAAATCCACTTCCCTGCTTAAATAATGAAGCCTGAGTGATGTCATCCATCTGTTCCTGCAGGGGGCTTTGGAGTCCCATCGATGGCAGCCTCCATGCTAGAAATCCAGTCTCAGTCTAACTTTCAGTCAACCTAACGACAGGCTGGGAGCTGGAGCTGAGGCGGACTTTAAGCCTCCAGACAACCGTTACATCGCACCCACCTGTCAATCATGTCAGCTACACGCCTTATAGTGAATATAGCTTATCGTTCGTTAAATCAAAACGGATGAGTTATCACCCCCCAGATTCCCAACACCTATACTTCTCAAAAAGAGGGAATACTGTGAGAAGAATTCACAACAGCTTTCCATCTTCCCAGAGAGAGGCGTCTTGGGGGGGAAATGGAAAGTTGTGTGTGTAGTCGAGGGTGGATTTAAAACCACATCATTTCCTGTTTATTCCGGGGAGGGGCTTCTTAAGGAAAGTGGTACTTAATTTAGCCTTGAGGTTTTCACTTGTGAGTTTTACGTCCTGTAGCCTTTATTGGTGTCCAATACATTTCTACATTTCACGCAGCTTTGGAAACTACATGTAGATATGGACCAGGATTTGTGAGGAGACTTTTCACCTCATGTTTGCCTCTGTAGAATAAAACCAAAATACTGGATTCAAAAATATTTCTTAGTATACCTGAGCTGTTTTGATAAGGTCGTTTTATAACGGAAGGGGAGAGGATGCCATGCCAAAGACAACAAAGTTCAATAGCGTCATACAACTATGTTTAATAAGATTGACTCATCAGTACAGAAAAAGGAAAAGGAAAGCTGGAACGACAAAACTGAAGCAGGTCTAAGCATTAGCAGTGTTGAGCTCCGTGTTTTCAGAGCTCAGTGATCCCGTGAAAGAGTTCAGATCAAGCCGACAATCTCCAGACAGAAGCAGTTTGTAAGTCAGAAAAACAAAAAACCCAGCAGAAAATCACACATTTACACTTTGAAAAGAGCGGGATGTTGGAAAAGCACATCACCCATGTTTTTTTTTTTTCATCTACTCTGGGATCACAGCATGACGTGACCTTCAGTGTTTACCTCCTCAGTGAACAACCGTGAATCAGCGGTGAATACACACAGCACGCTATCCAGGTCTAAACACTCAAAACAGATATATAGAGAGGTTATATAAAAATGGTTGGCATCAAATGATCTTTTTATCTGCACATCTGGGAGAGAGATAAATACTGGGGTTGTGGTGATTACTGGACCCTGGGAGAGAGTATATGGTGAGACAGGTTAAGAGACATCAACGGGAGAGGGGGTCAGTATTAAGATCAGCTGTATAACCTGTTGAGTATGAAGACAGAAAACACTTAAAAACAAGGCTGCAAAGTCAAACAAGCTGACATGAAGTTGGATAAACATTTCAGTGTCTCGTGACTGTTCACTAAACGTGAAGCTCTGATGACATCATCCTCGCTTAAAGCTACGGAAAGTCGCTCCCCCCCCAGCCAATAAAATCTCCAAACATTGCAGCATGTCAGCGCTTCACTCTTTAAATAAACACGATGTTCTGCAGGTTCTTTTAACATATCTGAAGTGACATTTCTAAAAACATGTTGGGTCATAAAACGTCTGACATGATCTTTATTTTGATTGTGAGGTGACAAGTTTTTGATGGCACTTTGAGACACGTCTGACTATCTTTTGCAATGTCTTATTAGCGTGATGTGATTTTTTAAATTATTATTTGTTGTCGGTCTTTACAACATTTACAGCAGCGTAATACAAACACAAGAAAAGAAGACGAAGAAATGCAAGTTCAGGAAATGTGGCGTCTAGATGAAAAGAAATGCAGGGAATGAACGTTGGGAGCAAAAAATAAATATGAGGCGACTTGCGAGAAATGCAAAAAGAAGAGTTAAACTTATGACTAAAGGAATCATAGCCGTTGAATAATATGTGAAATTTAAGAATCACAGATGCTACACTCTGCAAAAATTGTCATTTTGTTTGGATTGGGTTTTTAAAATGTCCTAAAAATTTCTTAAATTAGATTTTTTAAAGTGTGCAGCAACACTAACTGGATGTTTCTTCCTTTAGACAGAGTTAGCTTTTCCCCCAACAGTCATTAATGTAGAGCTTAGTGGCTGCTAGCTGTAGCGTTATATTGGATACAGATGTAGTAGGTTGGTTCAGGAACATGAGAGTAGTTAAAATCCTGTCGTTAAAATTTAGCAAGATATTCAAAAGAAATGTCTGCACTAAATTTGATGCTACAGCCATTTAAATATTTTCTTCATCCAGAATAAAAATGGACACCTGTGCCCTTAAATGTGCCGACACAGAAGAACGCTGAAGGCTGACTCATAAAAACACGATATCTTGTTAGCTAACAGCTAGCCGGGCTCCGTCCAAACAAACGTCTCCTTAATTGTTTCTTTTAACACAAACTGAAACTGCTTCTGTTGTTTTGTGGACAAAACTATTTTTCTGGCGGGGGGCTAATGCTAGGCTAAGTTGGCAGACCATAAACTGTACAGTCTGTCAGTCTAGACCAGTGGATCTCAACTGGTGGGTTGGGACCCAAAAGTGGGTCACAGAACCGTTTTCAGTTGGTCGCAAAAATGTTTCTAAAATCTGTGACTACTTTTAAACATGTTTTCATTAAATTGAAGAAAAAAACAAAAATTTAAGGTTGTGATTTCTCATTAAAGAGCGGGTGGCGGTTTCTGAGGCAGTCGTTCCCAAACTTTTTTCCTTGGAGCCCCCCAACTTGTATCTGAGATAGGCTAAGCAGGTACCTCCAAGAACCCAATCAGAAAAAAAGAAACATGGCTGACAGAAATAACATAAACATTAAGAATATGTCTACACACACTCGTTCTTACTAAACGACCTTTGTATAAACTATCCAGTGAGTGTGTAGTCTGTACAAATTTAGTTTTAACAACCTCAGAGCAGACAAATCCTTGCAGCAGGACCCCAGGTTGGGAACCAGTGGTCTAGACTGTACAGTCCACAGTACAGACACAAGTTGGGGTCAATTGTATTTAACTGTTGACAAGAAGGCAAATATCCAAATGTATGACTCGCCTTTTAAAGCGGAACATGAGAAGGGGACATTTTAAATTAAAGTTACAGTAGCCTTAAGAGACAAGTTTAGGATGAAAATTAAAAAACTGTGACCTTCTTTTGTTTTTGTTTCGACACAGTAGACCTACATCGCTACATTTACATTCACTCAGAAGTACAATCACACCAGTGCACTCTGCAGGAATTTAAACTAAAGCCCCGTTTCCACCAAACCGTCGTGTTCAGCTCAGCTCAGTTTAGTACTGTACATGTTTATTGGCGTTTCCACTGTCAAAAGTTGGGAATGGCACCAGAATAACCGATCTGTAACGTCCTGTAACAAAAGCAGAAAAAGCCAGCTACAGGTTTTGGGTCTGGAGGAAGGACATCAATTGGGGGCTAGCACCCCGATAGAGGAAGCTGCGGGGGGTGGCGGGGGAGACACCACGGGTGAAACACCAGTGAACGGCGGATTCCAGCTGACGACCCTGCAGTTGACCAAAAGGCACCGTAGGAGGTACGACAGGCCTAACCTGTACGACAATCTACCACCCTTCTGTTGGGATGCCGAGTGTACCGATCCGGCCGTAAAGGGTGAAGCTAGACCCACCGCAGGCCGTTGATTGGCCAAAAGAATCGTGCAACAAACTAAAAATGGCGGTGTCCGTTGCTTGGCTAACTTCTTGTAAATTTGTTACTGGAAAGCGGTGAACTCGGGTGTGATGTCATTCCCTGCTCTGACATCAGACTTCTGAGGTAAATGGAACGACCTTAAGGGTAGTGTTGGCTGTGGGAATCAAACCAGACCGAGACGTACAGAACCAGGAACCAAACTGTAGAGAACCAAACCGGGCTGCTTGGTGGAAACGGGGCTTATGGGACTAAGTCTGAGTTACTGTAGAGTCATAAAGTATTTAAATATCAGCAAAGCATTGATGTCCATGTCCCACAATGACATCACAACATACTGCATGTCTGCTCCATTCTGCAATTTTTTATTTTATTGCCCATTCATTTGTTTACATTGCGAATCACTTAAACATCACCAACCACCAATCTGCTGTGTGTGAGTAGTTCTTTTTCTTTTTTCTTCACACTAATGTAAGCAACATCAGCGAGTTAACACATAAAGCTTAGCAGTTCAAGAACCGAGACACTTTAGTAACAATTTAACAAACGTCTTTTTTTCTCAGCTTCAAAATAAAATGAACAAAGTGAACAAACCAAGTAAGAAAAGAAAAAAAAACTTTTTAAAAGAATTAGCATCATAAAATTAATTTATTCCAAGTAAAAATACAAAATAATATGAATGACATCGACCAGATATGAAAGTCTCCCCCAGAAACAACGGCTAATGGTGGAGAAATAAGTCTGTGAAGAAGAAAAAACAAAACACAAAATAAAAAAAGAAAATATGTAAATATGTTTCAATTCTTTTCGTTTTTAGCAAAACTTTCTAAAAAATAATGATTTTTTTTCTCAGTACAAAGGCTACATTACTACTGGAAGGTACTAGCAGGTAGAGTAGGTAAATACACAGTAGAAAATGATTTTAGTGAATCACAATGCTTGCAATGAAAATAATTCTGCAATAAAGATTTATGCCTCTTTTTTCTTGTTTTCGTCTTTTCTACAAACAGTACAAACAGTATTGCACATTACAACAAAGAATCAAGGTTCTTAGCCTTTTAAAAAAACGGGACTAATTCAAGTCTTGCGTGAATAAGAAGGCCACCGGTCAATTGATGCACCTTTCGGGGGCTTCTGATCAAGTTACAGGTGAAAACACTCTCGTCGTGTGTGTGTTGTTGTTTTTTTGTGTGTGTGTTAAAAAGAACATTCTCGCCTCTTCTGTGACGCTCACGACTCTCTGCTAAGCTTCAGGGTCACGTCGCCTCTTTTACAAAAAAAAAAAAAAGGGAGCACGAACGTTTAGGAAACATAAAAAACGTCTCTTAAAAAAATAACGAACAGAAGATCTTTCATAACTCTGGTCAGCATAGTAAATGATTGGTTATAAATATACAAAAAACGTGGGAAACATGTTTTTTTTTTTTCATCTATGAGCACCTGATATTTTGTTTTTCTTAAGAGCTCTTCTCGACCAATTTGACCAGCGGGACCCTCCGCCCACCCTCCACCGTGATAAAGTAGACTCTCTCTAACTACGTCATTATATTAGTTATTATAAAGCTCCTTCAGTTTGTCTTTGTCAAAAAAATAAAGTCTTTAAATGAAAGCAAATAAGCATGATACAAATAAAAAAATCAACCATCTGTTAAATCATTTCTCTGAAAGAATTAAATTAATATATCATTTTTTTCATCTGAATAAACTCACTTAGAAAATATCAGTTTCTCTCCGAGTATAGTTCAAAATTGAGGTATTGCAAAAGATCTTGTCAGTCAGAAACCACGCTTTATCGCCTCTTCTTCTTTTTTTGTTGTTGTTGTTGTCTTTTAACAAAAAGAACCGCTGACCGTCGAAAACTGTTCAGATACAAAGAGAATAGTGCATAACAATATCGATCATAGAGAAGGAACAAACATAGAAAAGCTGTCCGGGTGGGGAAAGAAACGTCACAAAAACACCCAGACTTCACTTTCAGAGGGATACGTATTATTACTCAGGGTTAGCCTCTGCTTTTTTCTGTCAGTAAAAAAAGTTTCTTTAGCTTTGATTCATTTTTTCTTGGACAACAGAAACACCAATCCAGAAGCATAAAACAGTTTGCGACTATTAAGAGGAGGGGACAGTGGGGGGTGGGGGAGGGGGGGGGGGCGCCAACATGGGCAGTTTGACCTTACAGACAAAACGAAGGGGAGCGGACCACTCACATGAACTTGCGCTGTCTCAGGATCCCGTTCAGATTGTCCACAAAACTGCCAAAACCAGTGTAGCTTGCCCCCTTAAATCTAGAGCCGCTCTGTCTTGAGCAGCCAATTCTCTCATCCCTACCTCCCCCTCCCCAAATAATGTTTGAGCTGTTTAACCCTTTGATAAAAAGATGTCCACCTTTTTTTTTTTTTTTAGCAGGTCCATTACTTCAAGCTTTGCAGGAAAAAAAAAAACATCTGGATAAATATGGTTAACCCCAGCTCGCACATCTGCATCGTCTGGTGTCGTTATTCCCCCTAACCAAAACCCCACCCACCCTCCCCTCCCCCCCTCCCCTCTCCAGCCTTATAGTGAGAGCATGTGCAGAGCTCAACCTCAAGTCTCCAGTAGCTTCAATGTTTGATTTCACACCTCCCACCCCACCCACAATTCTTCTTCCCTACTCCACACCTCTAATCGTCTGCTCCCTCCGCTCCTCCTCCTCCTCCTCCTCCCCCTCCGTGTGGAGTTTGTCTTTTATAAGTCGAACATGTGAGCTCTTTGGTTGCGTTCTGGGACGTAAACGTGCGCTTCTGTTAACGAATAAACGAACAGAAAAGACCTCAGTTGTCAGTTTAAGCTCACATTGTTTTGTCTTCTGTGTGTGCGTAGGAAAGACAGCCGTCCTTTGTGTGTGTGTGTGTGTGTGTTCATGTGTGTTCCAGAGGCTTCTGTGTATTCTGGTGCAAGTATGTGTTTACAAGAGAACATACAGTATACACGTGTGCATACACTAGTTATGAAGTTTCACAGGACTTCTATGTCGGACATCAACGACAGTTAAAGCGAATCACAGTTCTAGGCATACACACCTAACTACATACGGTATAAAAAAATTGCACAATTATATCAACAATCACTGCAAAAAAGTTACTTCACCTATCAGAGACAGTTTGAATGGTTATCCTACATTTACTTTGTGATTATTAAGGTTGTTTTCTCCCCGTGTCGTCTGCGGCGAGGCCCGCCATGATTCCGCCGACCCGTCCTCTCTGTTCGTGTGTTGTGCAAACTTGGGCAGAGTCGAGGAGTAGACATGATACTGAAAAGTCTTTGCATGCAGCAACCTGATTGAAATAAACATGCAGTAAGGGGCGACCCACCCCCCCGATCCCCCTTAAAAAGGTAGCCATCTTTGTCTTGGGGGCGCCCCCTCCCCCTGTTGATAGCTCGTCGTTGCCAGGTGCTTCTCGAGATCTGTTGTGATTATTGTACACCCAGCCTGAAGAAAGTACGAGTGGTACCTGGTCATACCATGGATTTAGCAGCAAAGCTATTGCAGCATTACATTTACTTAACACTAGAAAATAATGTTGTTATAAAAATAAAGACCTAGAGATTGAAAGCCAACTAATCCACGTATGAGGTATTAATATTATCAGAGTCAAAATTGAGAGTGAATATAGCCGTGTTGTTATTTGTACTCACACTACTGGATAGTTGTTGCTACATCTTGTGCCTCCTGTTTCTCTTTTCCGTTTGCCTTTGGTAGGACTCTTCACGAGGGGCGATAGAACTACAGCTTCTCAAAATAAGTGCATGCTCCTTTTACATAAAATTTTAATTATCTATATATGAATAGATAGGTAGAAAACAAAAAATATATACTTTTTTTTTTCTTTAAATATTTAAATGGTCCCACCTCTGTTCTCAGTAAAGGGGGAGGGGTCCAACAGGACGTACCACAGCACCCAGTCAACAGCAGACAGGTGTCAAACAGACCATCCTGTGTGGGTGTGCGTGTGTGTACGCGTGTGTGTGTGTTTGTGTTTGGTGAGATTTTGTGCCAAAGTGCAAATTTAGCGCTGATAGATGTTTGTGTCCCCCGCAGTGCTTCATCAGAGGCGACACACTGAGTTCAGAGGGAGGGGTGGCGGGGGGGGGACTGTCCCGTGTCTTTGACCAGATCTTTTTTTCATGAGGTGTATGTGGGAGACGGGTGGAGGAGGTGGGGGGTATAGGGGGTTGTTGCAGTGCTGACTCAGACTGCAGGGCAGGAGGGGTTCAGGTGGTTGTTCTTTTCAGGGGGTCGGTGTGGGTTCACGGGGGGGGGGGGGGGGGGGCTGCAGGGCTGGACGCATGACCCCCACTCAGCTCCAGCGGAAGGACACATGTCGAGGCCGGTCGCCCCCCTCCTTCACCAGCGGCTTGTGAAACTCTCGGCCGGCCCTTGAGTGGATGCTGGCCCAGCAGTACTCGCAGTAGTACTGCAGGCAGGTGACGTTGGCACAGAAGAAGGGGGCGAACTTCCCCCCGCAGCGAGCCCCCTGACACTCATCACACATCTGGTCGTCCAGGACGTACGGCTTTACCTCCACCTGGAGAGGAAGACGGAGAGACGTGAGACAAGGTTCTGTTTATTCTCATCCGCTGACACAGCAGGAGCAGATCCAGACTGGGGCACTGAGTTGTGCAGGGGTTTCATGGAGCATGTGTGTCTCATTACATCGACTACAAGTACTAACATTAACATGTTTAAAATGTTAAAATCCTGTGTATAAATTCATAGTGTGGTAACATTTAAATGCAAAGAAAGCTGGATGTTGCAACACATCCCTAAAAACAGATTTAAACACAAGCCCCGCCTCTGACAAGGCAAATCACCAATCATAGTTTGGGATTTTGGGGAGATGCAGATGAAAAAACAAATCACAAATGAATATATAATGAGTTTGATATTTTATGCTGCTTGAATTTTGTTAAGTCAGAATTATAAATCCCCGTTTGATGGACCCAAAGTTTCTGCATGACTGTGCAGCAAAGCATGAATATTTTACACAGACCTTTGTTACAAATGGTAAAACGTACACATGCTGAGTGGGAAAGCATTGCTTAGCAACATTAAAAGTGTTTGTTTATAGTGATACATTTCATATTTTGTGATGTGTTTATTACAAAGGCTTGTAGCTTGATAACGAATTGAACTTAATTACACAGCAGGAGAGACTTAATGGTATCAGACATTGAAAAAGATGATGTTATCATGTACATTTATCAGTAATGGCATTTTCTAATTGACCAAAAAGACTCCAGCATCGTGCTCCCCTTAACTGTCTCCTAATGCTAGACTTGCACTGTGATCAGTTTTGAGGATGTAAGTGTGTTTTCTCCCTCCAAGCTTTACTAACAACACTCAGGCAAAGGCAGTCTCTGTGCAGTCCTTTCCAATCAAACCGAGGCCAGATTGAGGCAGGTATCCGGTGAAATGACTTTGACCACTAAGCAGGGAGACATGAAATGAGAGCTTGGTCGCCATGGAGACGCAGGGGGGGTGGATGCTAGCCTAGTTACAGCGTGGCCACAAAATGAAAGGTTATCGAATCCCTCAACTGTAGGAGAGCTGTACCCTGTTTGACAAACCCTGCAACAACTACAGGAACAAAATCTACAAGACGCTGCAGTGCCGTTACATATAATTTAGCTGAACACTATTCTGTGACATATCACCACGAGAATAAAGGGGAAAAAAGAGAGAAATACAAAGAAAAGTGGCTAAAACAGGCATCCCTCTATAACCGTATTTTTCCCTGTGTTTGATCTACTTTCTGCAAAAGATACAATTCCTCAAAAAGTGTTGATTCTGTCCACAAATTACATCTTCAAATAAAAATAAACTTAGAAATATATATGTGTGTGTGTGTGTGTGTGTGTGTGTATATAGTATATATATATATATATATATATATATATATATATATATATAATATCTTAAAAATAATTTAGACAGGAACGCCTTCTTTGTTTACTTTGTAGAAGTTATTTCCTCTGACTTGTTTTGTACACTGTTTGTATTTCAGTCATAACAAAGACACCCTGCCCTCCTCTGAAGATGGATGAAGAAGAGGTGGGGTGGACTGCCACGCCCTGCAGAGGCTCGGCTTCCTGGCCGACACCCAGTCTCTCTCGGTCACAATCTGCCCCGCTGCAATTGGCCGGCGTGTCTAAAATAAGCAGGCTGCAGCGGAGCCAGAGTGGATACACACGTATAGGGAAGTACTATAATTAAACCGACCCTGTGTGTCTGCAACTTGAAACATCTGTCGGTGGCTCCGGCGGCCAAGGGCCAGAGTGATTGCACAGCCGGGCCTGTTCTTCCGTTATTGTAGGCTGTGCCATAATGAGAGCTGTGATGGATGTGAGAGGGCTCAGGCAGAGTTCAGCTCTGCAGCGTGCCAGAGGAATGACTGTGAAAACCTCAGCTGTGGTGGGGACGGAGAGGAAGGAAGATTGTGAATGAAGTGGGTGCTAAACTCGCTCACCCTTTTGTCGATGTCATTGTGCTGCAGCTGTACGAAGCGAGCGCTGATGGCGGCGATGTAGCTCTGCTGGTTGGAGAAGGCAACACGGCCGGCTCCCTTTGGGTATTTGAGCTCCGGGTCGGTGTCGATGCCGGCATAGCAAACACCTCCGTACAGCCGGTCCATGATCATCGCCAGCTCCACTGCAGAGCAGGAAAGGTGATTGATATAAGAACAACAAGAGGACGATAAAACAAAGTCCTTACTCAGACTGAGCTAACGTCATTCGTTTGTGACAGCTCAGCCTGCAGCCCCCAGAAAACCATCAAACAGCATCAAAAAAAGAAAAAGATTTGTAACCTGCTTTATTCAGAACTTCATTGTATTGAATCATCTTGCCAGTTTGTTTTGAAGAGGAAGTGACCTCTGCGTCTGATATTTTTTGCTCCTCATAATTACTTGTTAACAAATGAAAATCCTTGCCCAAATTCTCAGTTAACTTTGTAAGCTGCAGCTCAGCTTGCAGCCTGATGTTGTTGAAAACACTGATTTTCTAAAGTGGAAATGTTCACTCAATGTGCATGTATTTTTCAAGTTAAATTGACTTAAAAAAAAAAGAAGAAAACATCCTTAAATATGTGTGTTAGACAGCTTCGGTACTCTGAAAGTTTCTCCATTTCACAGTGCTCTGGTTTCCTCAGGGCCTCAGAGTAGTCTTCAAACTAGAAGTGTTGCCAAATAAGTATTGAGTCTTGACATTGATCAATACAGTAAAAAAAAAAACACAGGGTCAGCCAAGTGCTGTTTTGAGTTTTTGTGGGTTTAATATCTGTCCTGAGATGAGAAGCCTTCAGGCTATCTTTAGAAAAATTAAAAGGTTTATTTCAGACTTTGATGATTGACTCTGTTATTATCCGATAAAAGAATCTACCCCCCCCCCTCCCCCATTCATCCGAGCAGCAGTCTCAAAGTGCTGGTATAATTAGTCGGTGTCACATTGCAGACGAGCAGGCGATGTTTATCCCAGAACAGAAGGACTGAGCCTTCCATTACAGCATGAATTCTTAACATGACGACCGCTTGGCCTGCGTCCTGGAAACCTGAGTACAGGATTGCTTTCTCACAGGGAGAACTTTCATTATAGCCTCTGGCCTCAGAGCTTCATGCCAGCACTGTGCAGCCAATTTAGAGGCTTTAGGGGGGATCACAAGTAAGTTGTTCCCCTCGTAGAAGTTATTTACCTGCACGCAGGGGCCGCGGCACCCCCCCTACAAAGATGGTCTTGCGGGGGTCCAGAGGCTGGGAGCCGTCCATGACAAAGTCACTGTCGCTCAGGTTCCAGGGACGGATCTGGACCTGCACCAGAAAGAAGGATCAATATGGTCATGAATCAGAGAAATGTATGGTAAACTTCATATATTTCCCCAAGTTATGGATGCAGCCTTGGAGAGTTTTGACAATATCAGATATAAAGCTCTGCAGTGACAGATGTTTATCTAAGGTGAACATTTACCTGTGAAGCTTTTATTAGGGATATGACCATTTTTTCCACAATTATCAGAAACTTGAAGGCAGTGGAGAAAGTAAAGGACATTTGGCCAAAGTAAAACAACATATTAAACCACCTATTAAGACCACCCATTGGTCACCAATCGACAACAGCAAACGTTGGCATGACCAGTAAATGATACTTTTCAATCCTTCATCTATATATCTACTGCTTATTACCAAATGCTGCAATAATAATATGCTAAACTTGCATTTTGAATATGCACGACTTTACACCTGCTACATAGAAATGCTACTATTGTTAAAGGTCACATAGTATACTAATTTTCAACCACTTTAAATAAGTCTCAGAGCTCCCCAAAACATGTGTGTGAAGTTTCTTGTTCTAAATCCACTCTGATCCTGAATTTGATCATGCCTATAAACCCCTCTATTTCAGCCCTGCTCAGAACAGGCTGTTTCTGTGTATATACCTTTAAATATGTAAATGAGCTGTGTCTTTTTGTGACATTTTCTGAAAAGTGGGCAGGCAAAAGACGGAGAGGATGGACTTTTCCAATAATTGGGGGGTTTGTAGACAGACCAAGGGCATACAGAATATTAGTGTCAGAAAAACATGGCAAAGTTAGTTTTGATGTGAGATACAAGTGAAGAGCCACTGGCAGACACATGGACATGTTTAACAATACAGTTTAATGTAAATAAACAGATTCTTTGAATATGAAATAAAAATCTGTAGTAAGGAAAAGTTTTCTGATGTTGAGTTTAGTTTAGTTTTTAGTTTTGACCTTTATTGTAGAGACGGACAGGGCAGTGAATAGAATTATAAATTATTCTCCAACCTTCCCTTTCTTTCAGACCCTAGCCTACCCTAGCCCAGCCTACACTTAGTGTAGGCTAAGTAGGAGACATTTTGATGACATTTTCTGTATCAATTAATCTAAAATCATTCTCTTTAAAATGCAATCCTGTCATCCATCCCCTGTCATCTGTCAGAGGATGCATGAGTGATGTCGTAAACAGTGCGGTCATAGACACGGTCTTTAAACTCTGTTCTCTTATCTCAAGTTGCTTCTTGGACGGTTCAAAATGGCAGAGGAAGTCTTACAGTGGATATCCATCTGTCACGCTGTAGCTTGACGTATTGGCTACGAGAAATGAATGCTAACAGTTTGCTTGTAGTTGACTTATTTTAACTGCATTCCTGTATGTAAGGTTTACTTAATAAGTGACTTCATCCCATAAAGAAAACTGTCACTTACTGGTTTGTCTTTGATGGTGGGACTGGACACACACAGGTAGAGCTTTCCGTCCTCCTCGATGCAGGCGTCGATCAAGGCCTGAACAGAAGTCTCTTCCTGGAACAGCAGGAAGGCATAGCCTGGAACACAGAGAATGCAGGGGTTTAAGAAAAGAGATACTCTCTAAGAAAACCTTCATCTGTGGCATTCATTAATCATACCCATTTGACAACTGCTCAAGTCAGAGGCCTGTGACAAAGCTCTACACTTTTTCCTCTGTAATAATTAATGCTTTCAGACAACTTTGGATGACCTTGTGGCCTGTTCTCCTGTCCTCATTCGACTTTTCTGAATAAGACGCTCCGCACCCAGCACCCCACTCCCTGAGCTACTTCAGATTAAATGGCTAAGCAAAGTGCTGCACTCGGAAAGAAACCATGCAAAATTGATCAGCCCAACACACTGCAGATCCTCCCTATAGGAATCTGTTCAGGTAGAGAGGGTTTGTTGATGTCTTTTCAAGGCGGAAAGAAAGAGCAATTCAGACAGTTACTCTGTACCATTGAATTATTAAACTCCGAGAGCATAGACCTTATGCAAGGTCGGAGCTATTAAGCCGGTTCCGGGGCAACAGAAAGGCAAATCAGGAGGGTGCAACCAGCAGACCATGCTACTGAAAGGACAACGAACAAACGCCAAGAGCACAAAGCAACTTTTAGATTAAACACTTGATACCCAAAGACAGACAGGTGAATATATTTGCTGTCAGAAAGCAGCAGATGTTGGTGTGCACAGTTGTCTCTGAGTGGGTTGTAAATTATTTGTATATTGCTTCTTTAAAATTAGAAAAAGCCCAGCACCACCTGTGGCACCCATGAGTCAGGGATATATGAGCTGCTGCCTGAGTGGGCTGGGTAGATATGCACAAGTGCACACAATCACACACACCCATACGTCGAGAGACTGACTTCTATACGAGTACATTCTGTCTCCAACAACTAACTACTATTTGGTTTGTAGTGTCTGCTGCAGAAGCTCTGCGCTCAAGTGTCTCTCAGTATCACCTTCACACACATACACACACACTCACACCGATGTGCTCATGCAGACAAATGCTCGCGTATAAAAAAGGCGAGGAGGAGGAATGTGCAACTGTCATGTTTCACTTTAACATTCCTGAGCGGAGCTGCTGCAGATGAGGTGAGCTGAGAGGAGAAATAAAGCTTGACTCGGCAGTCGGTTGTGTTATGTGGGTAGGTCTGAGCCAGTGTGTGTCAGGGCGGGGCAGAGAGGGGGGGGAGGACAATGTGAGCATGTGCTGGAATAAAAGAAAAGAAAGAAAAGGTAGCGAGTAGGGAAGGTGAGGTGGAAAAAAGCATTCGATTGTGTCCTAGTGTGGCCTGAAACTGCTGCTGCTGCTTGCAATATTTCTGATGGTGTGTGTGTGTGTGTGTGTGTGTGTGTGCGTGTGCGCGTGCGCGTGCGCGTGCGCGTGCGCGTGCGCACAATAATTGTATGGTCAGTGTATCGCATCGCATCATCAGCAGATTGTATAGTAACGTGTTGTATCTTTAGCCTAATGTTTTATATTTTATCGTCATCAAATCTTAATATCGTATTGTATATTATATCACATATCGTATCGTCAGCATATCATATTTTTATGTATCATACTGCATCATATAATATGTTAACGTATGTTACTGTATCATTTTCCTTGACTTCCCCATTAAAATAAATCTGGATCCTAACTTACATGTTGCGTTGGTAAAGTGTCCCAGTTCCTGGTACGGAAATCAAACCTGTTTGGCCACAATAGGCCAGATTAGGTACACAGGATCCCAAAGCATCATTTTAATGTTCCCATTCAAACACTGAATTAAGCTACATTTTTCAAGATTAAAAGGTTCCAGCTCTTACAACGTGAGAATCTCTTGCACCATCTCTGACAGAGAACTAAAGTCGGGTTCAAAGTGTTGGTGACTTGAAAATATTAAAGAAAATGTGCATGGCGTTTTATTTCTACCAGCAGTAATCATTTAGGTTCTTGTCCACAGATAACTCAGTGATGGAGTGAAAACGTAAAGCTCAGGCTTATAACAACAAACTAATATAACCATAAATAATCACCATGAACTCCTTTTATTGGCTGCTACGCAATAATGATGTCATAGCGTTAAATGAAGAAGAAACAAATGTGGCAGCACTGACAGTCAGGATAAGAAATGTACTTAGTTTCTTTTGGATCGATATCAGAGTGTCTTCATGCTAATACACAATTAGATGATTGTTTGCATCTGTTTTTTTATGCAAAGCAGCCACAGAGGCTCCTCATAATGAACAGTTTGTAGCGGTTTGTATTATAAGCACTTTAGAAGTAAAGTAACAGGCTCATAACCTCAGCGGGGATATAATGTTTCCTCTAATAACAAGCTGGAACAAAACACTCATAATGGAAAAAAACTAAATTGCAATCAGCCGCTTTAATTTCAGTTAATCTCTGTTTGTAACACGGAGCCGACCCTCTCCGGAGCGGCCTCGGCTTTAAGAGGACTTAGTGCATCGTCATCTTCCTCCACGTGCCTCATCATCACCCGACTTAAGTCCCCCGTCTCTCTCTGTTCTGCCGTGTTACATAAACAGGGTTTGTCATTGGGTGAAATCATGTGGTGTAGCACTGACATATCCCCCCTTAGAGGAAAAAACAACTGCAGTCTCGCAGAAAAAAAAAAAAAAACAGCATGAAAAAGGCAGAGTTAGCCAGCAGCTCGTACAGTCTGAGGCAGGGAACAACGTGTTCCATGACCCAGGGCAGAGGAGAGACACAGAGAGGGGGAAGAGAGGGAGGGGGGGGAATGGGTGGAAAAATAGGGGGGGGAGTGAGAAAAGGTAGGAAAGCAGCATGAATGACTGCCGTACAAACAGAGTCACAGAGAGGATGTAAAGAGTGTAAAGACAGACTCGAGGCTGCAGCTTTTATGAGCTCTGTCAGATAGTTTCTAAACTAAACAAGAAGCCAGACAGAGTCAACAGAGAGTGGTGAATTTTTGACCCATATACGGCCCAAATCAGCAGTTCTATGACCCACATTTAGCCTGGAACGATGCCACTGACTAGCCATAAGTCAAGCCTGGCTCTTGCCGTGTGGCCTTCACAAACACACGCTGGAGACTTTACATAAGAAGTGGAAGTAGCCTCTTTGTTTTAAAAGGTAAGTAGAAGTGTCTTTAACCTGCATTGTTTCTAATGGCCAGAAGGAGGCGACTCTACTGGTTGCAAAACAGACTGTATAAAATATGGACGTAGACACTGTGACATCACCCTTTGGTTTCTGAAGAAGAAAAAGGCCAATGGTCATATCAGAAATGATGCCTCCACCTAACTTTTCACAAGTAACAGGCAAAGGGGTGGAGCTGACAAACAGCTACAAGATGCACCTGTCTGTCAGATAAGCCACGCCCCTGAATTAATGAATACCTCTTCAGCTTAATAAAATAGAAACAGATGAGTAATAAATAAACCCCCTATACAACGTGAACCAATAAAAACACGAGATATTTATACCAAATTATTTTCTTGAACCAGGATGTAAACATGCTTTCTCCACATGTAGAAGTTTGCATTTTAGTATGTGTCCTAATGAGGATCCCTTGGTTCTTGCAGACAGCCTCGAGTGGACATTCGAGGAACTGCGGTTTTTGGCACTTTCCCTTTGGCTTCCTTTTTTGACCACCAAGGTTTGCTGCTTGTTGCAAGAATAAGTTTAATTTCATGAACGCCGTTGGGAAAATGAGCATACCTCTTGGATAATGTTAGTTGTACCCTGTGCTGTTTTTCCTCTCTACTCCTCTGTTGTCTCCAGCTCTGCTCAGGTGAAGCTTCTGATTACACAACGAGGTGCACCTGACCTCCGTGCCAGAAGCCCAGGGTCTGACTTCTGGAGGCGGAGCTTTGCGGCGGTGACTGCTGTGTGTTGCCTCTCAGTTATGGCTTTGTGTGTTGTGTTTTGTTCATTTAGTCTTTAGAGGATCTCTTTGTTCGTCTGCTAATAATAAATGTCTTAGTTTTGACTTTTGTAAGGCGTTTTAAATTATCCATGGGTCAAAGTGTAGTTACAGTCGTTCACCAGATGGGGCAGCATTAGTATTCACACGGTTAATTCTTATAACAATTTGACGATCTAGTTTCTTTCTTTATGAGCCATGAGGTTTATTTTTCAGTCTAATCCTTCTCTTTTAATCCTAAAAGCCGAGTCAGGGACAGGGTTAGCAAATTAGCCACGGCTAGAAAAACTTGTGTGCATGACATCGACTTATTTTAAGTCCTGGTTAACCGGGACCACCTGTGATTGACAAGACGCAACCACAGCTGCCTGTTAAAGTGTTAAAAGGCACATACCCCCCCTCTTATCCAAATATGGTCACTTCTGGCTTTAATCCATTTAGTGTTACAAATGTAACCTTTGTCTGTACTCGTTTAAGGCCATTCTGATTGCATGTGTCTTTTATTTCCTTAGAGCCATAGTGCATAACAACAGATCACATTATATGTCTAACCAGTGGAAATAAATCAAAGACCCTTTTTTTTGTTGTTGTCCTGAGTCATTGTCATGTGTTGTATTCAACTGTTAAAGGAAACTTATCTTTATCAACTTTAATTTCCTTCTGCTGCTATTTCTAGGTCCTATCAGGACGCAGTACTGTATGTCTCTCTGATCGATGAACCTGAACTACACTCAGTTAGGACAGTGTGTGCTTTACAGTCTGAAACAGAGTGTGCTCTAAAGTGCTCGGTGCCACCTGAACGCTCCCACACTGAGTCTGAATGGTGCTGAGGGTCGGCCTTTTTCCTACAGCCCTGCATGCGCACTGCAGAGGCTTACACCACAGGAGCAGGGCACAGATCTGCAGTGGCTCGCACCTCAGGTTTTGCAGGCTTCGCTTGCTTGTGAGCTGAAGCATCGTCTATAAAGGAGGGTTATAAATGCAACCCATGATTATTCCCTCCCCCCCTAAAGAGTGCTGTTTAGACATCAACAAGATGCAAAGAGCTGCGCTGACCTCACATAACACTCCATCATAGTATCTGGTGCTAGCAGACACTTTACATCAGCCACATCAGACACAGTTGTGTCTTTGGATCTGATCCTGTCGGCTCTGTCACCGATTGGTACACAAACATGTTTCCACTGCTGTATCAGAGTCCCACATCGCTCTCCTGTTCCCTCCATGACCTCATCAGCTGAAAGTTGTGTTCACTTCGCTGAAATCCAAAACGAGATGAGCAGATACACAATGAGCACAGTCTGAGCGTGTCTCTCTCTGGCTTTCATAGTGACATTTAAATCCAGGTTTATCTTTTCAGACATGTGTCCACAGATTTATTCCACACAGACGAGGGTGCTGAGAGGGAACGGCCGACAGATGAAGCTGTCATGAGGAACACGAGAGGCGGAGAAAGTTAAAGGAAAGGAAATGTTATGTAGGAAAGCTGTATGAAGCAGACACTCCATGTTTAATATGTATCCCATGAGAGGAAAGAGAGAGAGGAATAAATCTGCACAGGGCTTTAAAACTGCCACAAAATGTAAACAGAGCGACCACTCGCAGAGGCTTACACCACGAGGGGAGAGAAGAAGAAGACAAAACAGATGAAGAAGAGGATACGGGAGATAAAACAGACAAAGCTGAAGATGATGAAGAAGAAGACGCGGTACAAAATGACGTTGTAGGTGAAGAAGCAGCCGAAGATGATTAAGACAAAGGAGACAAAGAAGAAAGAAGCCAGAAAGATAGACATGAAGAAGACAAAAAAGAAGAGGACCAAGTAGAGGACCAAGAGGAAGACAGGTCACATATGAAGATGATGACAAAAAGAAAGAAGAAAAGAAAGACAAAAAATATTTTTTAAAAATAAGATACAGAAGAAAATTGACACAGATATTCAAGAAGAAGACAAGGCCAAAGGAGGTGAAGAATAAGACAGTGAACAAAGAAGGCGGAGACGAAGAAGAATAAATCAAGCAAGAAAAACAAGAAGACAAAGGAGAACATAGAGACAATAAAGGCCAAAGAGACAAAGAGGAAGCAGACACAGGCAAAGAAAAGAAGAGGCAGAAGAAATGAGAGAAGCCGAGAGAAAGACAAAAAGAGACGAATACGAGGACAGAAAATCAGAACACAAAGACGATTAAGAAGGTGACTAAGAAGGAGAGGAAGGTTATGAAGAAAAAGAGAGGATGATAAAGACAAAGAGAAGGAGTGTTAGGGAAAAGGATAAGGCCACAGAAGTTGAAGAATAAGACCATGAAAAGAAAAGAAGTTGAAGAGAGCAGAGATGAAGAAGAAGAATAAGACAGGCACGAAAAAGATAAAGACAAAGAAGGAGAACATGGAGACAATAAAGCGAGAGAAGAGGAAGCAGACACAGGGAAAGAAAAGAAGGCAAAGAAAAAGACGAAGAAGAGGCAGAGGGAAAAAATAAGTTACAGAGAAATGCAAACAACACAGAGATAAATTAGGTGATGATAAAGAAGACGATGGAGGTTAAGAAGCAAAAAAAAAGGATGATGAGGAAAAATGCATAGACAATACAGTTAATTAAGGAAGCCAAGGTCAAGGAAGGTAAAGAAGACAAAGAAGCTGAAGAATAACACCATGAAAAAAAGAAGAAGCCAGAGACAAAGAAGGAGAACATGGAGACTGACAAGAACAGGACGCAGACACAGTAAAAGCGTAGAAAAAGCCACAAAGACAAGGCAGCGGAAATAAAATAAGTTCAAGAAAAAAGACGAGGACAGAAAAATCCTGACAGCACAAAGACAAATAAAGTGGTGATTGAGAAGACGATGGAGGTTAAGAAGCAAAAGACAGGATGATAAAGACGAAGTAAGGAAAGGACAAAGTAGATTTGAAACCAAAAAAAGAAACGGAAAAGAAAAGAAATGTAGAGGAGAAAAGGGACAAAAAAAGAAAAAGAAAAAGAGGAGAGGATGAAGGAGAAGGAGGAGAAGGAGGAGAAGGAGGAGTAGAAGGAGAGGCATGTTTGGCAGGACGGATGGAGGGGGACACAAACATCTGCTCTCCTAAAAACTAACACGGGCCTCGAGGCTTTGGAGCATGTGGAGAGGAGTCAGGGCTCGGGCAGAGGAGGAGGAAATCAGGCAGAGCTAATCATCTCTATTAGAAGAAGTCATTCACTGGATGTAATCCACACGGGGGGGTGGAGGGGGGGCAGACATGGAGGCCTGATGGTAATAACACTGTAACTTCTGCGAGCTTCATGGAAAAAAGAAACTACTGTTTTTGGGGGAGGATGTGGTGTTTTAATAGAGCTGATAATGACTCACTGCCGTCAGGAGCACATTTTACTTTTTAACCTTTTGAAGGTTTCAAACACGTCAGACACACCGGTCCTGCAGCATGACGTGAGCGCTAGCATTTGTAGCAGTTTATAGCTCCCAGTGCTCAAACTGCAGCGTCACCCCCTCCTCCCCCCCTCCTCCTCCTCCATCCACAATCACAGACAGAAATAGCTCCAGGATATTTCAGGCTCTTTGCCCACAGTAGTGTCTGATGATGGGAGAGTGTGTGAGCGGCAGCACCACACTGATCAGAGTTTCTCCATCACAATCGATTTTTGTTGTTTTCTTTTACTTTTTTTTAAAGGCGAGATGATCAAGAAGGAAGCATACCTAATATTTAGACCCTTTACTTGACTTGAAGAAAAAAAATCACAGAGCCTTTAACACCAATATTTCAAAATGCTTTCAATTACTGAGTTTCACCTCAAACAATCTCAAAACCCATCGCCAATCAACGTCTGATAGATGATTTATGTCTCTGGGAATGGATGTGCATTTGTTTTACATCTTAGTAGTTCTGGTTAGAGATGCGCTGATCCACATTTTTTTATTATTATAATGAATAATGTTATTGTTGTTGTTGGTATTGATATTGTCTGTGAGGCTACACAAAGTTGTAGTAAACCCAGCATTGTGTGGTGCTGGCTTCATATACAAACAGTCAGGTTTTCAAATAAATATTTGTTCAATTTAAATATTTTTAACTGAAGTGTACTTTCGATCATATAGAAGGAGCTGTTCCATCTCGTCTGAACGTCGTCATGGAGACGATTTATGGACACTTCAGTCTGTATGTCTTAAGAGTGAGACTGTATGAGCTGAGTGTGTTTCAAGTGCCCAATGATCTTTCTTGACCCGTGACGTTGATTTGCACCCTCAGTCCGATACGTAAATTACCCTCAATATCGGACCCGATACCGATATTAGATGGGATTGGTCAGGACATGACTTCCTTACTTGAAAACACTATAATTTCTTGGTCCATAACATCTAAGAAGAGCGGCCGCAGAGTCTCAGCTCAACAGTAGATTTTAAGTCACACAGCGGCTTCACTCTGGCTTACTTCAGCAGTATGAGACCGAGAGAGAAACCATTTCTCTTTTGATGTTCTTCTAATTAAAAGGAATTAAGTTTGTCAAAATAAGACCATGATGCAGATCTGTAAAAAGTCAAGTGCCGTCAGGTCTGTCCTCAAGAGGAGAAGAAAACATCTTTTAAAATGCTGCTGGCTGTGTTGTTGTCGGAGCCAGCTACGAGCTAAGTGTGCTAACATTAGCCTGCTAACACAACAATGCAGGCCAAGGGCAAATGCGGCTCAAGCCCAGGACAAATTTTGTTAAAAGGGGAAAAAAGGTGCAGCTGGATAATGAGAAGGTTCATTACAGATGACTATAAAACTGAAGAAAAAAGGTTCTAAGATACCATAAATAATTTGAGCTGTAAACACATGAGAGCTCGGGGAACAGTTAGGTAATCCCTGTTCCTTCTTCCTCTCCAAGAACAAAATAAGTCCGGTCCCTCTGAGCCACAAAATGAGTCACCCCCTGAACCAAAAAACACTCTGAGAACTGTACGGACGAACGTTAATGTGAAGCAGGACGGAAAGTGACGCCTAGCTTCCATTCAGTCAGGTTTGGAAGGACGTTTAACGCGAGGAGAGGCCGATGACCTTCTGATGCAAATCCAACATCTGTAACTAACACACGCACAGGCAGATGTGCACTTGCTCTCACCCCTGAAGCCATTAGTGCTCCGTCACCGGGCATCTGCCCCAAGCTCACATGCCAGTTAATATGGAGAGTGTGACACAAACAGGATATTTAGGCAGTTTCTCTCTGAGTTTTACAGCGAGGAGAGGAAGGGTTTAAATTAGAGTGAGGGATGGATTTTATGCAGATCTCTCCTCCCCTTACATGGCCGCCATAAGCTCATTCATTCCCCTAAAAGGATGCTGTATTTTTTTTCCTCCTGGCGCTGGATATTAGTATAGCCGAGCCTGTTCAAAATAATCCGCCCAAAAAAACGAGAGTGGGGGAGAAAACTGGCAGAGGTTTCCGCAGGTCCTCCAGACGCAGCGTATTACCATCTGCCTGTGGAATGATAGTTATTTCCAGAGCGTCTTTAATATCTCCCCTAATATGTCACAAACAGCAGCTCCCGGTTCAGAGGCAGCGATGTGGAGGCTCTCTGATCACCTGCCTGAAGGGAGACGAACATGCACACTCCTCAGGACCCTCAAAGAAACAAACGGCTTCAGGGTCAAATCTCCTGCAGGGCAGTTATGGAGTCATATATCCTGTGTGTCTCTCACACAGAAAAACCACAGGTGGGCCGCTCGGATAAACAGACAGCTCCATGCGTGCCTGGCATGAGCCATGCATTCTGGGTAACCTGATTCTTTAGAAGACTCTAAAAAAGAAGAAGCCCCCGAGGTGATATTTATTGGTGCATTATGGGAAAGTGAAGACGACGCTTTGAGAAAGTCTTGTTACCTTTAGGGGGGAAGTAGGACTTGCTCTCAGCTTTGTGCGGCCAGTCGACCACAAGGTGTCCGTATCGACGGAAACTGTTGGTGATCTCATCTGAAAACAGGAGAGAAGAAAAGGCAAACATGTTATTTCCATGATGTTATCAGTAGAGATGCGCCGACAGGGCAAATACCAGTGCCTAAAATAACAACTGACAAACCGATGATGATGATTTTATCACATCTTTGCGTATTCTTCATGTGTGTTTTTCAGATGTGCTATGTCATTTGATTTATTTATATTGTTGCTAATTGTCCCTCCTCTCATGTCTCCGCATGCCGCTGATCTTTCTCAGAGACGATGTAAGCGATCTCACAGCCGAACATTTGTTTGATGCTCCAACATAAAAAACAAATCAGAGTTTGTCCAACAGATGACTTCCTCTGTCCAATAAAAAAAACATTCCTCTCTGAATTTCAAGCATTTAATTGATGTAACACAACAGATACACGTCTGTACTGACATTGATGCGTGCCACATTATTTGCCGACGGGCCGATGTCAGTCAACAGGGTCGATGTTGGCCGAGTTTAACAGATGGATCAGTGCATCCAGAGTTCAGAGAGAACACTTCATTAGCAGAGCTCTATGCAGAGTCACAGTCCGTGCTTTGACAGTTTCTATTTTCTGCTGCAGTTTGTAGACCCTGCATTAAACAGCTCAAGCTGTGGAAACTCATTAATTTTCAGCAGGGCTGGTGTTGTGCATCGGCTCATTACACATCTAAGACTGGCTGATATGTGAAAGATGAATTTATTTTTACAGTGAGGCATGGAACTTTATTCACCTGAACAGCTGATCATTTTGATATTGAATGACCCTTGACTATCAAACCATGGGGACGTCACCTCGTCATGTTTGGTTCAGGAGACATGACGCTAAAGAGGCTTTTTTTTAGTGGCTACATTTAAAAACAAACTCAACGTTAACCCAAAATCTCACCAACAATCCTGCAGTGTTGCACTACACTGCAAGTTCGAAGCCTTTGTATCTGTCTCAATTCTAGTCATAATATATTATTACACTTAATATAAGAAACATTCACCTGAGAGGTCCAAATAAAAAATTAAGGCCCGGATTGCTTGTAATAAATGAAAAAAGCCGTCAATGCAGCACCCTAATTTAGCTTGTAAGGTTTCTTTTCTTTTATTTCAGCTTCGCACAAAGATAGATAATAGGAAGCAACAGCTACTCTGGCAAAGGGTTAGGAAATGTCATGTTGTATTTAAGCCTGTGCTAGTACACTGAAGGTCACACCTAAACGTTTGTAAAGAGGCGATCAGTATAAACTTATCCCGTTCATACTAGGCCGACAAGCAGTGGGGTTAAGTGTCTTGCAGAAGGACACATCAGACATGTTGCTGCAGGAGCTGGGGATCGAACCCCCTACCGATCCACTCTACCAACTGAGCCACAGCCGCCCCTAGTGAGAATTATGTGCCAAACTTTACCCCAGTTTCTAGACTCCTTAACAAAAGTGGCACCAGTTCTTTAATCTAACCCTTTGGAAGGTAGAGAACATGCATTCATCCTAAAATCCATCCATTTATTATCTATAGAGCTTTTTCCCGTTTGGGGTCGCAGGGGTCTGGAGTCAATCCCAGCTGTCATTGGGAGAGAGGCGGGGTTACACCCTGGACTGTTCACCAGTCAATCCCAGGGCTGACATATAGAGACAGACAACCAGGCACACTCACATTCACACCTACGGACAGTTAACCTAACGAGCATGCCTTTGGACTGTGAGAGGAAGAGTCAAACTAGGAAGCTCATCCCTGTGAGGCAACAGCACTAACCACTGCAGCACCGTGCAGCCCTCATCCTAAAATGTTGAACTTTTTATTTAGTTTTGATAAACTGTCATTAAGCATATCTGTAGTCAGATCGTATTGAGGGAGCAGCTTCAAAGTGCAAACGCTGAATCCTTAATAACAGCAATTTGATTCAAGGTGCCTTTAAGAAATGCATCAGTGTGTTAGTCCACAAAAAGCCAAAGACAAATACTGCACTGAGAGGGTTCTTGTTGTTAATGACTGCTTTAAAACGTCTCTCTTCATGGTTTTACCTTCATCTATATCAGGGGGGAGACCTCCAACAAACACCTTCCTGGAGTAGCGCTCCATCCTCTCTCCGTTCTGGCAGCGGGTCGGCGAGTTCAGGCCCGGAGTCAGGGAGGGGTCACCGTGGCCATCGTCGAGGAAACCGTCTTCAAAGGGAAACAGACAGGAACGACCTGCGAGGAGAGGAAGAGAAGGAGAAAAAAGCCAGACGAGGAGAAGAAGGGGGGAGGACAGAGTGTGAAGTAAACATAGAGGGAGGGTGTGTAAGACATTACGTAAATTAAACACATCTGGAACTTATATGTGTTTGCATCTCAAGGTCACAGTTCTGACTGAAAGAAGATGAGTTGGTGTGCGTCTTTTTAATCCGATGAACATGTAAGGATGTATTTTAAAACCTCCTGACACAGAGACATCTTTACCTGCTTTATAGCCACATTGTTTATAACAAAAACTAAAAAAATACCACCGTATAGCAAGAAGTATGTGGAGCAACATGAACATTATAAGATTCCCATGGCCCAGAGTTTCAACAAGTTTAATCTGGATCAAATGTTGAAATTCAAATATTTTGTTTTCCAGGATCGGCTGATCCTTCTTACTTCTGTGTCAGCTTTTCTAAGAAACAATTGAATGCATAACACTGATGCAAAAGTAATGTAAACTTTTCAAGATTACCAAAATCGGATTATTGTTGCTCCAAAAGGCCAAGGGCAACATCACAGTGTAGCATATTTGCTGTGTAGAGACCAAGAGGTGACATAGCAAGCCTGGTGACACTTAGTGTTTTACTTGAAATGTCAGTCAGACCTCATTTGAGCCACAAAGAAATCATATTTAAATATCTGAAAAACAGACCCAGAACTAAAGAAGTAAAATTGGACGGTACTAACAAGGGCTGTACTAATATGATGCTAGTGCAAATCAAACAATGCCAATTCATGTTTTGATACCACTGCACAAAATTAGAAGTCCTAGGCGCCACATGTTGGGTAATATCCCATTTTTAATAACCAAAAGAAATTCAAGGTAACAGCTGCACACTGTCTAAATTGCACAAACATGTTGCAAACCGAATTGCAGCTCAGTCGTGCGGTGTACACTGAGGCACGATGGTGATCATCCGACTCTTCAGCTGCTCAGAACAGGTGGATGATTTTTTGATGTTCGATATTTTGTACATATGACTGCTCACACTCGCATCGTGAGAGCAGAGGAACCAGCCAATTCAACGACTTTGACCCTTTTCTTCTTAAATGTGCCTGCACAAAAAGTGACGGACAGCGCCAAATCCCCGTGGCAACAGCAGGCATCCCTGTTTAATCTGCACTCACCAATGATCATGACAGCTGCTAGTTAGCTTGTGTTTATCGACGAGTGTCTGTGAGAGAGAGAGAGTGTGGGACGTTTTGCTGGTGTATGTACTCGAGTCGTGCATGAGACAATACACAAAGATATAACTCAAACATCCATCTCTGGGAGTTTTCTATTGATAATTGTGAATGCTCTGCCCTGATCTAACTCGTACAGTGAGCTCTCAGGTCGTGCATGACAATCAGGTCGGACAGTGTGAGCTGACATTCCACCACCACTTTTCTACAATCGAGCAGCGTAAGCCTTGGCAATGTAGATGAGCAGTTCAGACAGTGCTCTCTTTTTATCGCTGCAGCTTTTGATTAAAAAAGATGAATGAAGAGCTGTAGCATCTTTAAAGATACTTCCAAACACTACTAAGGGATGGTATCATTTTAAAGTATGTGTTTTTGTTGTAATGATATTTATGTTTCAAATGTAAAATATTGGTTCCATGCAGAATACTTTCTTTTGTATTTCTTTCTTTATACTTTCCTTCAGTTTGTCCTGAGATCAGATTAACACAAACTAAGAAGGAACACTAGTCTCCGTCTTCCTGTCAGCACCTCATCACCCATTTTACATGGAGCAGTTTGAATGTTTGCCGCTTCACCGTGCTACAACCACCAAACAGTAATGTTGCAGTGACCTTACAAATGTCACCCAGCAGCTTTCCTCCTCGCTGCAGAAAAAGAGAATTAGTCAACAAAGCACATCAAATCAGAGCCGAGCTGTCGTTGCCATTCAGATGATGAATCACTTCTGAGTCAGCGTTCCCCATTATGAAACCCTGCAGAGTCATTTTGACAAGACTCCAACCATTGGTATTACCAAATGATGCAAACAGATCATTTGATGTTTTTTCCCTGACAAATTCCCATCCCTAATAGAGCCAGAGGAGACTGGTGTTTTTGGACTGATTACAATTTTCGATTTTTGAAGAGAAAAATCAACTGATTACCAATATGGCAGCCAATTTTGAGCTGGAATGAAAAGAGACATATTCGACATGGACTGCGCAAAAGTGTTACTTAATCCCTATTTAGAGATTGCACATAATGAAGCACAATCTGTAGGCGAAGTGCTTTAAAGTGTCTTTAAAATTACCACTATCAACCACTGATGTTGCAGAAGGCGTTGACTGCATGCTGTAGATTTCAAAAGGTGTGAAAAGCACCAGCTTTAATGCAATCCCCCAATCTATCTGCAGCCATCTAATGACGATTAAACACTAATTATACATCTTAACCAAGCGGCAACCTCCCAGGTTGAGAAATGAAGCCAATGCTGGAGTGCAAAAAACTTGTTGACAAATTGTCGCTGTTTTCCAGGATGTTTGAGACCAGCCTCATTTCCCCATTTTTAGATTGATCAAAAGTTAGGCTGAGACAGCATTTGCCAACATGGCAACCGCAACCTTTGGGCTTTATAATGTCTCTTTTTAAAGCTATGGGTGCCGTCATCGAGACGGAAAGCAATGAGTGACGTCACTGATACTATGTCCATGTGTTATACAGTCTAGGATCAAAACAGACACATCAGCTACAGTCCACTCTCTTACCTCATCAAACTGTAAACAAAGGCAACACACAGAGAAGAGTCCCGATGAAGACTCAGTAGAGTCGAAACGCGTTGACAATCCCTGTTAAATAAAGGATTTTTATATGCTATCAGAGTGCTTCGGACTTTCAGTTCAAAGGCTTTATATGCGATTTTTTGATCCAGCAGATGTCGCCTTGAGCACCAGCATGAAATCAAAACTACTCGCTGTGCATTGTTGTGTTAGCATGCTAATGCTAGAGATCTTTATTATGCTCGTATCTTCACACCAATTTACCCAAAATGAGCGTGATCTAGAAACACAGTTAAGCAGTGAGTACAGTATGTTATTCTTCTTTTCTCTAGTCCCTCAATTAAACAACTTTTATACACGAGGGGAGGAGTCAGCCAACCGTCCCGGCGATGTAAACAAACTGAAGATAGGACTCGGAAAACTCTGAAAACATCACAGACAGTGAGACTCGGGTGTTACACCCATTGTAGACAGTCATGACTCACAGAGTTATTTTCAGAGGATATACTTGATTTCTATTAATTTAAGTGTGAAAAATCACATATAAAGCTTTTAAGACTGCCTCTCCACACTTCACTTTTTCTCTTCTAATCAGGACAGTCAAACTTTTTTTTATTAACTACACAGAGAAGAGTGTCTGGTTCAAAAGTCCTTTACACGGTCGGCCATTATTTGCTGCTCTTCTATCTCATTTAAACTATATTGTAATTTAATTTTGCAACGTAATCCCAGGTGAACACTGACTCAGAACAGAGAGAAGAGAAAATGGGCAGACGTTTTTTTTTTTCCCTCTCACCATCATCAAGCAAAACGAGATTCATAGAGACAGAATGTTTAGACCTTTTGCCCCCCAGTGTTGATTAAACGCACAACATGGAAAACAGAGTGTCAAAATGAATATGATTTCATTCAATCACAGCACAGATGAAGAGCAGAGAGTGACACCACAATTGAACCCCCCCTCAGCCTCTGAAAGAGACATGTCCGACATGGCAAACAGACCCCCCGTCAGAGAAATTACCTCTTCTGCGGCCATAGCTCCGGGCTGCTTGTGAGCACGGGGGGGGGGGGAGACACAAGGAGAGACAGGGGGGTCGGGGGCAGGAACAGAAGGAGGAAAGAGACACAGAGACATGGGTTGTGGAAATAAACCAAAAGCAGGAAAATCTCTAAGGCAACAGTGGAACCACAGATGGCCACACCTGAGGCTCGGAAACAGGAGGGGGGGGGGGTTATTACAGCCTGGCAGCAGCCCACAGTAAACCTGCAGCACCTGCCCTGGCAACAGATGCATGCAGATGCTGGCAGGTGGGAGAGGAGGGAACAGATGAGGTTTATATACGGAAATGTGCCCAGATTAGGCAACATAACGTGACGCCCTATAGCCGGAGATCTCAGCCTAATGAACCCTCACCGGCTCGTGTTTGTGCTAATCTCCAGTGAATATTCACAAACGAGGCCATAAAATCAGAGCGCATGCAGGACGGACGGTTGAGCAGGTTAGTCATTATCATGGCCTTGGTGAAATATTAAAAGTTGGGCACGTACGGCAGGCCAGATGCCAGTGGAAACTTCCCACAGGAGAGGGTTTGAAGGCGTTTGGCAGCGATGGGGCTCTGGGAGGAGGAGTGCAGAGATATGCTGTCTACACTGAAGTGATCTGAATCTAAAGCGAGGCAAAGGTGAGCAGTGTGATCACTTAAATCTAATCAGCTGGTCACATGTGGCAGTTCAAAAAATCTTATCTTTGTAACATTTTTTATGCTCCTTGAAGTGTTCTGGATGTGAAATGTGGCTCAAATGAAGCTCATGACAACAATAAAGTTACTACAGGAAGGTTAGATTTTAAGCTTTCTCCCAGATCTTTAACCCACATTTCCTTGACCCCTCTCTATGAACGACTGACTGTTAAGAGCTAGCAGTGCAGACTACAAAAGATTTAAACTATGAGACCGAGATCATAACTTGCTAGAGGAAATTCATGCTGGGGATGAACGATGAACGGTCACTGTCGCTATTCAGCCCCAGAAGTGAATTACAAGTCGGATTAAGAAATTATTCATAGTTTTATATGTTGGCCCACAATGCCAGTCAAATTATCGATTAGGAACTCAGTTGTGATGCAACATACAGTAGTGTACAGTATCTCATAGCATCGCATTGCAACACATTGAAGAGAACAGCAGCTCATCGCATTGCTCGCACCATACCACACTGTAATGCACCACATCGCGGGAAGAGAGAGTGGGACGGACTTGCACGCAGATGATCTTACTTTTGTATGTGGAGCGCAAAACTTACCAGTTGACCTAAACCAGATTTTTTAAATCCTAAAAACCAAACATGTCTGCAGGAGCTTTAAGAGCAAATCTGTTAACTCCCTTTGCATTAGCAGACAATGTTGGCCTGATATTGGTTCTAGATAAGATCAAGACAGATTTCTCTTCTGATTGTTAGGGAGGGAAGGGGAGGAGGTGTATATCAACCAATTGTATGTTAAAATTGTGCTTGAGAGTTTTTTAGTTTTTGAAATCAAGCCACAGAGGAGACAAAATGTGGCTTAGGACAGTTCAACAAGGAGCCGCAGGGCTAATGCAGGGCTAATACAGTGCTAAACAAATCCTCCTGCTCCTGTGAGAGCATCAGTCACAAAGCACTTGAAAAACCAATATGGGCCTTTGCATTGTGAGAGCCTCATTGTGTGTCTCGCCCTTCTGGCTTCTCTCAGGGAATATATTGTGTCTGAGCCTCTTCTCCCTTTGCTATCTTTTCATTAAAAAGATCTGGCTCCCCAATTCCCCCACAAAAAAAACCTGGGCTGCCTCTCTGCAGCTTTGCCCTCTCACTGTCTGGCCTTGGCAAGACACAAAGGCACCTAGCAACCAAGGCGAAATGAAGACAACTTAGCGCTGGGAACCCGACTGAGGCAGAGGAGAAAAGGGAAAGGTTAGGGTTAAGAATAAGTACCAACTTTAAATTGTGCGGTGTCTAGGAGAGAGAAAAAATGTCTGAAATGAAACTAGCGGTTCCTCTGGGCATGATGAGTTTGATGTCTCTCACTTTGCTCTGCTTCAAAGCTTCAGACACTTCTACTAAGCTGTCAAATGAACAACAGCAATACATCTGGATAGAAGACCTACGCTCACTACTCTGCGTTCTTTCTTCTTCACTTCAAGTGCTAACGCCATCAGGAGAAAGTGTATCCCTCTCAGCATGAAGCCTCAAAGCTAATGGGACGAAATGAAGTAGAAACACAGAGTAAAACACTTTAAAGTTGAAACCAAAGCTTCCCCTGTCTGCACACATCACAGACTACAGCGGAGAGAGAGAGCCAGTTCTGACAGACTTGGAAGATCCGGGCAGATCTGTGCTTGCCTGAGCGTAATCCCATGACACAACAGTTTAACATCAATCCGGGACACGTTCTCTGAGGAAACGACTGATGAAAGGAACAAAATGTGAGAGGAGCACCGGCGTTGTCAAGATTTGATGGTGGAAAGTGCTACACTGAGAAAGTCTTTCTGCCTTTACCGGTTTCTATACCCTGCAGGCCAACTGAACATGACCAGAGAGGGGGGGAAAAAACAAAGCTTCTCTGAATTGTCTTTGATCGCAAGTCAGAAAAGACATGCCTGATATTTTGCTGAGGTTTGTACAAAAAGATGGGAAACAATATTACTCCTTAAAGCGTGACCAAAGGCGGATATGTAATGTCCTATTGGAGTATCGCTTGTAATCTTCAAACGATGCAATAGATCAATTTAAAAAACCCTGGCTTGGAACACTCTGGACTTGATTCACTAAGAATTAAATGTAATCACTATTAGCTCCAAAATTGTCCCACTTCCTGCTTCCTCTCAAGGTCAAATGCATAACTTTGATGGTATTCAGGCACTGATGCCCCCCCAAAGGTTCTCCTGCTCCGTGCTGTTTGCTCTTGTTTTGCATTTTGAATGTGAAGAGTAGCCATCTGCACCTTTACTCTTTTGCAGAGCTGCACTGTCATGCTGACGGGGCACAGTTTCTGTCTTTATAAAGATGATGAGCTGGGACACAAGGGGGAACTTTTTTTAAGTTAATTGAGAGGCCAGACTTGAAAATGAAACTGATTAAAACAAAGCTTCCTCTCGGAATGGGGCAAGCAAGGACAAGTTGAAGAAAAAAACAAAAACACTCGCATGCTCATCAAATGTGACGGCTGCAAACCGTCTTCTCTTCTGTGGATGAAGTGTGGAGCCTCTGACCGCTGATTATATTAACGACAGCCAAAGTAATACTTACAGACTTTATTTAATTTGTTTTGAACTCAAACAGAAATGTTTTCCTGATCACTAGAGAGTTTGCTTGTGACAGTTCTTATAAATACTGTGGCGCAGTTACCACCAACTCTCAGCAGAAGGTCATTTATACTCCAACTGCACGTGGCTGTTAGCTCCAATGTTTGTGAAACACAGCAAATGTGCAAAGATAGGGAGGAAGTTTTCCACTAATTACTCCTAATTTACTAAGATACGCTGTTTGCTCCGCGGCGCAGTTAGGGTTAATTTAACCCTTGCCTTTATTTTGTAAGTCAGTCGTGTCTTTTGGACTCATTTCCACTGGTTTAATGGGCACAAAGTCATGCAATCATTTCATTTTTCAAGCCCTCTGTGGTATCACTGAAGCTGCATATGTGATAAAGACCTCATTTCACTCCTGTCTCTGTTGGTCATCTGCTGGCTGGGGGACACTTTTAGGGGGGGGGTCTGGTCTCACACGTTGGGGTATTTTTGGAAGTGCTATTCAGACATCAACTGTACTTCCCTCATTGCGGTGAGGTTTATGGTGTCAGGGAATCCAGCCCTTAGAGCATTCTGACACTTTGGTCAGGGGGCGTTTTTTTTTTTTTTAATGGGACCAAAGCATAACAATACTTAGAAGTCCAAATGGGGGGAGCCATGGTGAGTTAGACATTTGGATCCTATGATGACTAATAGGTTGGTGAAGGGTTTTCTCCGGTCAATTGCTTCTGCCTTCAGTCTTTTAAAAAGGCCACAATGTGATCTTCGGGGTAAATGAAGCCGATCAAAGTATGTGCACATAACGTTCTTGTTTTTGTCACTGACAGGATCAGATCGTTGTTCAAAGTCTCTGAAAACATCTCAGAAAATGTGCCTACAGAAAAAGACTTAACGTATATCTTTTTTTACTGGAACCAAAATCATGATACAGAACCACATTATAGTTATTTTTTCTCACAGAATACAAGATATGCTGGTCTACAGGTGCCTTGAGTGATACATTTTTTTGTGTAATTGTGTGATACACAAATTTGTATCTGGACTTTCTTTAAATGAATTTAATTGTTTTACCCTTTCTATCTAATGTTATGCACATGTAAGTAACACAATTTGGCAAAAGAAAAAAATCTTCTGAGCTTGCTTCTTTAGCGACTCAAAAATAAAGATGCATGCGCAAAATCACAATTTAAAGTCACAAAACTCTTTGTGCTGTCTAACTTTCAAAGACATATTTATTGGCAAGTAAGTCCATTTAAAGTTTGACAGTATGCACAAGTTAATGCTTGGAATTTTTAAAGGTAAGTTCAAAGTATGCAGAGAATTATTGACAACTAAAAGTAATTACAAAATACAGTTAATACATTTACACATATAGAAAACTACCAGCAGACTGTTGAACACATCCAGAATACTTCATTTTAAATTTAGTCCCGCCTCTGATTAGGCAAATATCCATCCATTCAGATTTGAAGGGGTGCCCATGCCACCCCTATGGACACGCCCATGAGTTCAAGGCAGCGTAGACAAGCAACTCCAGTGTTATGTCAGTTAAAATGTCATTGTTTTAAATGGAGCTGGTGGCTTTAAAGATCATGTAAGATAAAAATCATGTAACGCTTGCTTCTTGTTTTAACTGTTTCAATGCTGGGATCTTTTCTGCGATGTCTGAAATTTGGAATCACAATCTGATCCTGTTTGTGGCAAAAACCCGCTCATTTAAATAAAATTTTATTTAAATGAAATTTAATTCTAATTAAATGCAATGGTGACTTACTGTTTATTGGCATTATGTGGTCTGCTCCAGGATGGTGGAAGTTGAGGCCCATTCGTCCTGTTGAAGAAGAAAGAGAAGATTTTACAAAAGAGGAAAAACATTGAAATCAATGATTCAAAAGTCGCTGTTAAGAATTATTTATTTAACTTCTGTTCTACAGTGGGGAATGTAAAAATGATGCAATGTTTTCAATGAAATGAATAAAAAACAGACCACAGAGAACAGATGTGAAGAAGAGGTGTCATTCCTTTGTTGCCCCATATCTCATATTAACACACACACACACACACACACACACACACACACACACACACACACACACACACACACACACACACACACACACACACACACACACACACACACACACACACACACACACACACACAAAAACAAAGGCAGCTGGAAGAATTCAGCACAGTGTGTATTCTGTTATGGTGACAATGTGTGCATACTACACAAGGCCCATCTGTCAGTGTTTTCATGAACGCAGAGGGACGGTGTGGGACGTCGAAATGGAAGTGTTCCTGATTTTCTGTCACCGTCATCCTATTGGTATACTCGCCAAAACAAGACACTTAAGCCGAGGCAGAAATAGCTCACCTGCTTTGGCACAAAATATTGCTGTCTCACTGTCAACATCATTTGCAGAGGCAGCCGCAGAGGCACACCCTTTATCCCTAACCACTTTAAATTAGGGCCCTCTGTCAAAATCCGCCTACACCAGCTTTACACTCAACAAACATCAGGCAGGCAGCCCACATAGAGTGAATTCAGAAAGACGGAAAGTAAAGCAGCATTGAACCTGGACTACACATTGATATTTGACATTGAACTTGTAGATTTCATGAAAACAAAGCAAACAACGAGTGTCACCTAAACCACCTCAGCACATCTTGCTTCTCTGCATGATTAAGGACATCAACATGCTGAAAGCTGCAACTTGACATGTCAAAAGTTTCATGTGTGACCACAGAAGGCAGATAGCGGAGACAGCCAGGGGGGCTCTTCATGACTCATACAACAAAAGCGGGGTTAGTTACTCCAGTGTTGCCAGATCTTGTGGGAGAAACAAGCAACCAGGTTAATGCAACCAAGTCCGAAAAGGCAACGACGCCCCAAAAACTGTCCCCAGTTAGGCCACAGATTACGATCATTGTGACCTCTTTGTTTGTGATGAAACTGCTTCTTTATGTTTTCTATTCCACGGTACGGCCTTCTCTGCTTATTTGCTAATACCATAAATATCTCGAACTACTCATAGCTTTGATTTAGGCAAAAATTGTCATCGTAGTAACGGACTCTGTTTCTTCGTCCGCCAATTCAGTGTCATATTTTTTATATCATGTCTTGCCTCCTGAGATACCCCCCCCCCCCAATCACCCGACAAGAATGGCCTCTCCCTGTGAGGTTCAGGTATGTGTGAACAGGCATGTTGGGAAGATTTCAGAGGCAGCCTAATGTGCTTTTGTGAAAACGGCACAAGTCAGAGAATGAAAATATCAAGCATTTACTGTTGAAAGTTATCCACTCATTACCCAGCTACAACAACAACAAAAAAAATCTATTCATAAAAAATATAATTGAATGAGTATCTAATAACAAGAATGACAAAAGATTAGCTGAGGGCAAAAAGGTAACCCTTAAACTTTCTATTTGTCAAGAATTATGACAGTAAAAGGAGAAGAAATGTTGGGAGGAGAGAGTGGGGGGTGACATGCAGCAAAGGGCCCAAGTTGGATTCAAACCCATGACTGCTGCAATGAGTTTAGCCTCCATATAGCAGTGCAACATAACCACTAGCCTATCAGCGCCCCCGATGCTGCTTTTTCATCTTATGTGCACAACTTCACAAAACCGACAAGTCCAAAGTTTTTCACTTCACACAGACTTGACAACCCTAAGTTGTAAACAAACAGAGCTATAGGTGGGTGGGTGGGCGGGGGGGGTACTCCCTGCAGCTCCACAGATGTAGATTTCCAAACATTTTCCCATTCAGTCAGAATCCTCTGGGGCAAATACACGTTTATTTGAACACGTTTACCTGGCTGAGTGACACATTATCTTTGCTCTTTCCAACTTATGAACATTTTGTTGACAGAGACTCGGTGCACCTGAAGAGGAGGAACATCCTGAGTCATGTCCTGACACCGAGGGTTATCTGTTATCATCTCATCAGTCTTCCACCTTGGGAAGGTTTGTGTCTCTTAGTTCAGGAGCCCAATGAGGTAGCTGTGCAGAACCCTGTGTATCTATCGGTAAATGTGTGGGTGGTCTGTTTGTATTACCCCAACAAAATAACCAGGTTAGAAGCCAAATGTTTGACTGTCTGAGGTGCCTGATTCAGAATTTGGACCAAAAGTAAAGCAAATGTACATCTGAGAAGTTGATGGCCAGATTATCTGTGTTTATTTGCACTGTTGAAAACAGATCCCTCGTCTTTTCTGCCCTTGAAAATAAACCGAACTCTAGCTGTTTTCACACATGCACTCCTAAAAAACATTCTCAGCAGGAAGTTTTCCATGTCGGAGTGGGAGGGAGGGGGGGGAATCTCAGTAGGCAAGATAGAAGGACAAGCAACAGAGTCCGTCACTGTGATCAATGAGTAAATGCTTTGTAAACTAAAGAGTGGAGAAGAACTAACTGGTGAGCAGAGATCATGATGAAGTAATATTATAATGTGCCAATCACAGGATGTAAACATCATACCCCTTTCTCACTTGTTTGTTGTGAATATTCTTGTCGGACTTCTGTTATTAAGTAAATTCTCCCCCGATGCTTTTAAACCTACACGATGATTGTAATCAAATGCAATGGCCTAATCGAGCTATATACTGTAGCTCAACTAAACTGTGCATGTGTCATGTGAACATATTGACACATGATTTCAGTGATTTATATCTATTCATGTCTTTTCTTTAACTTTATTTTTAATCAAGCTCTGCAGTTTATTCCTTTTAATCTGAACACATGTTTACAGCTCCTCATCAAACTGTCTCTTTGAGCTAGTACATCTGCATTTGGTTGTGGTGATGTGTCGGTCGTGAGCCAGATCAAAGAACCGGCTCTTTTAATTGACAATCCTTTTTTATTGTTTTTTGGAAAGTAATACAAGGCAGAATGATATGATGATCTCCGCGCTACTGGTGCTCCATGCATGCAGTCACTGAATGTCATATGCGTGCTGTGCAACACAGCATGCATCACATGAGGTTAGGCAAGGATCATGCCACCAAACACGGAGGGGCGGGGGTCCATCGCAGCGTTCATAAACGGGTGCGCTAAAGAGGAGGGAGTGAATGCAATGAAAACAATTGGCTAGAGCAATTTATTGATATTAGAAAATGGCATCTTTACTTTTGAATACTTCAGTACAAAAAATGTATTGAATAATTTAAGCGATATATGTGTACATGTATAAATCATAAAAGGTATAAGTGGTAAAGTGAAGAGCCGTTTGGGAGCCGAAAGACTGTGAGCTGAGCCAAATGATCTGGCTCACTAAAAAGAACCAGAATTCCCATCAATATTTGGTTGGGCAAAAAGGATCAATAAAGGACATTACCCTGTAGAAACCAGTTGTCAGTCCAGTGAACTTATTAAAAACATAAAGCTGTGACATGTTTATACAGTACTTGGGCAAAAACTGCACCAAACACTGATCTGTGCTGGCCTTTCCAGCTACGTGAGTCATTTTGGGTGAACGAGGGGGACAGTTGCCTTCCTAAAGACTTAAATAGATCTGAACCTGTGGCATCTGCTTCCCCCGGGAGTCGAGTGGCAGGGGGCCTGAGGGGCCCCTCAGTTTCTGTCACTGCTCTTCTGCTGACATTTCCTCACTGCGCGCTTGAGCTATTCTCAACCTCCCCGTGATGCAGGCACAGCAGCGCCAACACTCAGGAGGCACACAGTCTGCTGCCTTTAGACACAGATTCAATCATACCTCGTCTTCACGCTAATGACAATCATCGGACTGAACAGCAACCATGACCCGATCGCTCGGGGAGAAAGTAAGGGAAGGATCACCTGAACACAGCCAGTGGCTTTTGTGCTCCAGAGGAGTCATTGGAAAGAATCATGTGGTTAAAAGCAACTGGACAATGTTGATAAACCACAATATAGGGATGTAGCAATACTAGATTTTAAAGTAAAAATCTAATAATAATGACACCTGTTTTGATACCACAGCAAAAACAAATGGAAGTCCTAGTCACCTGATAATGGGAAACTCTGTTTTTAATCAACCAAAAATTGCAAGCAAACTCCTGCACACTGTCTAAATTGCACAAAAACATTACCGAAAACTTGCCAATATCCTATCCATTATCTGTACTGCTTTTCCCGTTCGGGGTTGCGGGGGGCTGGAGCAGATCCCCAGGCGAGAGGCAGGGTACACCCTGGACTGGACTCGGGTCAATCACATATAGACAACTGACATATAGACAACCAGCCACACTCACATTCACACCTATGGGGGCAATGTAATGTAACCAGTTAACCTAACCAGCATGTCTTTGGACTGTTGGAGGAAGCTGGAGTCCCAGAGAGAACCCACACATGCACGGGGAGAACATGCAAACTCCACACAGAGAGGCTCCTGTACGACGGGGATTCCTTTGGGGTTAAAGGTATGACCGAAGTAATATTTAAAAAAAAAGCTTCAGTACTTTTTGATGCTATACTAGTGCAGTTAGGCGCAGTACTAGAGGTTAGGTCACGCCCCGTGAACGGAGTTTGTGGTCCTCCAAGTGGGCGGCCCAGGTTCATATCGGACCTGCGGCTCCTTTCCTAAATGTCATTCTCCACTCACTCTCTCCATATTCTATTTTAACCACTGTCCTATCTAAAAATAAAGGCAAAAAGCCCAAAAATAAATCTTAAAAAGAAGAAGAAAAAAATATTTTTGTGTCAAATAATTAAAGTTGTTGTTAAAACAGATGGCGATGGGTCACTATGGTAGAAGTTGGCAGTCAAATGTCAGCCTACAAGCTTGAATAGGCATCCCTTCAAGACCTGAAGTTATAGTCGGTCGAGGTCAATGTCCACAAACTTTAGAT